AAAAAATAAATAACATAGGGTTCATATAATGCCATTTATACTGAGAATTATAGCATTAGATAAAGCATTACTTACCAAAACAGTTTGTCGCACTGAGTGTTCTTAAAGTATGATAGTTCATATTTATACTAAGTAAATGTCTAATTATGTTATCTTGAAAGCTGATCTTATCATGAACATATTTCTTCTAAGTCTGAATATGGCTGTAATTTTTTTTTTATCGAGCACCAATTAATACTTAAGAAAAGTACGAATTGTTCAAAAAAATGCTTATGGATTTCAAGACAAATACAAAGATGACTTCAATGAAAATATTGACAGCTTCATCAAAAATATTTGCATAGTGTACCAGCTTTTATTTATTGCCATTTTATCTCACGATTCGTTAAAACGTAAGTACTGATGAACCAGCTGTTTATCATATACGTATATTTGCTAAAGTACAAAAACACACTTCAATAGTTCGAACCATTGGGATTGGTTGATTGACAATTGCTTGACGTGTTTTGAAAAATATAGATTTGTTTTTTCTATCATTACCTTTCAAATTGTATGTAACGAAATCAAGAAGCGACTGCAGATAAAGTACGTATCTATGTTCTTGGAAGTTTTACGGACGCCATCATGATTTGCAATATAAAAATAAGAAGATGTGGTATGATTGCCAATGAGACAACTCTCCACAAGAGACCAAATGACACAGAAATTATCAACTATATGTCACTGTTCGGCCTTCAATAATGAGTAAAAACCATACCGCATAGTCAGCTATAATGACCCCGAAATGACAAATGTAAAAAAATTCAAACGAGTAAACTAACGGTCTTTTCATGTATAAAATATTGCACGAAAAAAAAAAATGATATACAGCAACAAAAGAGAACCACTGAATAACAGGCTCCCGACTTGGGACAGGCACATACAGAATGTGGCGGGATTAAACTAGTTTGCTGGCGCTAAACCCTTCCCCTAACATGGGACAGTAGTGTAATGGCACCACATAAGAACAAACCATGCAAAACAATAAACGAAAATTATATATGAGAAACAGCAAAAAACGACTACCACTCAATTACAGGCTCCCGACTTGGGACTGGCACATATAGAATGTGGTGGGGTTAAACTAGTTTGAAGGCGCACCAACCATCCCCAAACCTGGGACAGTGGTGTAACAGTTCAACATAAGAATAAACTATAAAAAGCTAATAAAAAATCATACATCTATGACTTGCTTTACATAATATCTGTAATACAGATGACAAAGGTGAACGTTTTTTTGACACAATCAAATTTTCGGGTTTTTTTACCGTCTTAAAACAAAGGAGAACTGTTTCCCTTCAAGACTGTTTAACTTTACCTCCATGTTTGCCAGGTTCGAGGTGTGTAGTGTTTATTTTTTTCGTTTTTGTTTTTCTTATGGTGTCGATTTTTATTTGTTATGAACCAGAATTTTCATTCAAAAAGTAAGAAGATGTGGTATGATTGGCAATCTTCTAATGAGAACCACCAGAGACCAAATGTAGTAGAAATTAAGCAACTATTGGTCACTGTACAGTCATCTATAATGAGCAAAACTCAAACTTATAATGGCTATAAAAGGCCTCCAACATGACAAATGCAAAACTATTCAAATTAGAAAACAAACAGCATGATTTATGTAAAACACAATAAACGAAAAACAAATTTGATAAAAAAAACCAACAAACAACAATCACTGAATTACAGAATTACAGTAACCTGATTTGGGACAGTCATAGACATAATCCGGCGGGATTAATCATGTTTGTGGCGCCAAACCCTCCCCTAACATTAGGCAGAAGTGTAACAACACAACATAAGAACAAACTATAAAAATCAGTGGAAAAAGGTTTGACTCATTAGATCGATATCAAGTATAAAAGATGTCTTATAAACTATAGACATCTCATATAGTATATAGGATATCTTAAATATTAAATGAGATATCTTATATATTCTTATATATTATATAAGATATCTCATTTGGTTTATAATATACCGTTTATAAGACATCTCATATAATTTATAAGATATGTTATATGATTTTCTTAGATATCTCATAAAGTATATAAGATATCGTATATAAAAAATATCTATAAGATATCTTATACATTTTCAAAATTTCCCATTCGGTCAAGTTTTAGGGTAAGAAAAATTTTACATGACCGATGGTCTAGAATTTGGTGATATAATATGGTAAGCTAAGAGTCAATTACTAGTCCGCTGTTGCGTGATGTCTAATCACTTGATATAAATTATCAACGTATTTTATAGGAGTAACACGACGAGTGTCACACGTGGAGCAGATTCTGCTTACCCATACGCAGGACCTGACATCACCCCCGGTTTTTGGTGGGGTTAGTGTTGCGATATCTTTAGTTTTCTTGTTGTGTTTTGTGTGCTGTTGTTTTCCTGTTGGCCTTTTTCTTTTTGTTTTGCCATGGCGTTGTCAATCTATCTTTTGAATTATGAGTTTGAATGTCCCTTTGGTTTCTTTCTCCTCTCTTTTTTTAAAGCAATTACACACAGCCAAGGTGCTACAGCTCGCCAGAAACTTTTCCGAACCCTGAGTACAGAAGACATCTGGAAATTTTACATTCATATGTTTGAAAATGGGCCAGTCAGGTAATCATAGTAACTAGGGTTCTGATAAAACGATGTAATAATATTTTCGATCTATTTTTTGGAATTTAAATTATTTTTGTTAGTCTGATATCTTTTTCATTTAAACTGAATGGTTTATTTATGAAATTAAATGCGAATTTTAAAACATACTGTGACCCATCACATATAATGTAAAGCAGCTGTTGTTTCTAAATTAAATATATTTGTAAGAATCGTTAGTTCAAATTAAACTACAATAAACTAAAGACGATATTGTACGAAACATGATTCAAATAATGTTATCAAACCAATTACTGTTCACATCTTTTTGAAAACCTTGAAAGTCTTTTTGTACTATTGTCAATGTGTTTTTCCCTTAGAAATAACAGTATAAATGTCCATTAAGGTTCTCATAATTTATTTTATATATTTATATCTTCAAAGATGCTATCTATTCTGAACTCAAAATCATTATTCTTTGACGTTGTACGTATTAAATACCATCACCAAAGAAGCTTACTCGAAACATTTCAATACATTAAACGTATTTTACTTGTTATTTATAAGGGAAATTCAAATGTTCTGGTCTGCAATAAACATTAACGGCACCAATTTTACTGCACAAGATGCACGTTTTGAAAATCAATGTCTTTTCAGTAATGGTCAAAATACGCAACTTCTGTTTGAAAAAGTGTTGTGATTACTTTTAAACAATTAGTTAATCCTTTATTATCATAGTTGTACAAATAATAGGTTTGAATTCGTTTAATTTTGGTCTAATTTCATCTTTTGTTGATTATTACTGTGACCTAAAAATAAGTTTTTGTATATTTATTCCTTTCCAAAAGTTTCCATCCTTTCGCCTCTAAAAAAACTCTGTCAGTAACTTCCGAAATGTGTATCAAACTTGGCGGAAATGGAAAGCATTACGGTACTAAACATATATATTATTAACTTGTATGTATATTTTGACTAATTTGATTCGTTCAGGAATAGTCACATGTTAAACTATGTTTTCAAAGATCGATTAAAAAACAGCGGATAGAAAAGTGATCTTTCACGGTCATTTTTTGAATATCTAGAAACCAATAAACTTTGTGACGTTAATAATATAACAATTTTAGCCTTTGTATGAGGTCAATACAGGATATATCGACCCAAAGAAGTATATCGACTTTTGACTTCATCCTCAGTCTATATACTTCTTTCAGGTCAATATATCCTAGTATCGACCTCATACAAAGGCTATAATTGTATAATAAAATCACTGTTGTCTAACAAAACGTAAAATACAGATTTCAGTGTTTTACGTGTTTATGGAATTATCTTCACCAGGTACGCTCGACACAAATTTAATTGATTGATTGATTGATTGATTGCTGTTTAAGACCACTTTCAGCACTATTGTGCTATATTGTGGAGGCTATTTTTTATTGCTGGATTTTCAATTGTAGAAGTACATAAACATTGATTCAAAGACTGAAAGAATTCATAAATTCTTTACACAGAAAAACAAAGACAGGGCAACACCCTACCGAAATGATCACAGGTGGTCCGATACGGTAAGCAGACCCTGCTCCACAAGTGGCAGACGTCTTGTTATTCATGACAAGTACCAATTTGTTGATAAGTCTCATTCGGTAATGTCACATTCGAGGAAAGAGGCCGGGATTATATTGAGACAATTGAAATATTTCAATGGTCATCTGTGACACAGATATTCCTTAACTGTCAACAAAATCATGATGGTGTCCGAAGGGATGATTTGAACTTTTCGATTACCTTAATTTCTGTTTTTTGCCTTTATTTGTCTCTTTTTTTAATCGATTTACGAGATTTAAACATCGGTAAATTACTGTCTCCTTACTTCAACAGCTTTCTTGTTAGCAGCAACCTTCTATCAATTAATTCAAAACTATAATAAAATAAAAACTATCAATATATAACATTGTAGGCAATTGAAGTCAAGTCAATGTCCAAAGATTTATTTAAAGTCGATTAGTAACTTTTACATATAATATAAGTTTTAAAGAGCTCTAAAATCGACTACGTAAAATAATACAGTACACTTGAGACAAAACAATACACAAAAGATAAGGACAATACACGCATATAAAAGCAATATCATTCGATGTGATGATTTTGCTTTGATTCCACAAATAATGATAAAAAAAACATATACACACACAAAATAAATATTTGACTTCTATCCTGCATTAATATTAAGTTTTATTGAGGAACATGGAAATTTTTTCCAACGTTTATTAATTAAATCATTAATTTTATCAAAAGCATTATCATTATTGTTTTTTTTTACTTATGTCTTTTTGTAATCATTATAAAATTATGTAACATGCCCTTCATGACCCAATAATTGGTTTAATAAAGTATTCATGGAACATGTTTTTTGCAGTTTTGAATATAAAATAAATCTAATAATCATTATATTACATAAAATGATTTTTTATAGTATAAATATGTAGCTACAATGACCCATAAACTTGCACCATAGAGATCTATTGCAAGATGACTCGCATGTGTTTCTGGGACGTGCCAGCTAACTGGAAAATTCTTATGCAAAAGTTCGTGTCCCATATATACCAATATGGCATTCATACCTGTAATAATGGAAGTAATTACTAAGAAACTACTACATAGCTGAAACACAACGTAATGATTTACGTGCACTAAAAAACACAAATTTATAATAATTAACAAAATTAAAAAAATCTTGAATAATATTATATGACAAAGGACATCGAAGCAGAAACATTCTGAAATCAAACTGAACACTAGGTCAAATACAGCCATCATTGTTTTTTAGCTGGCTTTGAATAGTTTTTTCATTTGTATACTTAAAACATTGTACGTTTTGAAACCCTAATATAATCTAACGGCCATTAAACGTCACTGTGCTATATATGCGTAAGGAGAATTTACTTGTGAATCGCAAGTCGGTATCATCTTTCTTTTGAATTTTGTCAAAAACAAGATAATTTCGCATCCAATTGATACCCAATTTGGTGTGATGTCCCTTCAAACAGCGGTATACAATTGGGTCTGTAAAGTGTTTAAATATGCTTCTGTCAAAAGCTACCCGATTATAAACAAAAAATGGCTTTGACAAATGCAAAAGATTTCGTCTATATGTTAAACGAGAGGATGGATATGTTAGATGACGTTGGTTTGTTTGTATATTATAAAAATTATTTTTAATCTATTCAATATAATGGCTGCAATTGGTTATATATCAGTGTGTTGCATTTTGTCTCGTCTGGTGGTTACAGATTTTACGAAATCGATAGGTTAAAATATGACAATTGAATTATTTTCTTTACGTCATACTTACCTGGGTAATAAAATGGTGCTCCATTCCATATCTTCCATTCATCTATCATCAAATAGCAAAAACACAACAGAAAAAATGCAAAACCACCAAGGCAGAACACAAACGATAAAGACCTAGAAATAACATAATAATATTGAAATGTCTCCCTGTCCAGAATTGAGAGTGAGATGCAGTTGCGGATCCATGGGGTGTACAGGTGAACGCCCCCTTTGAATTTGTCATATTAAACCATATTATTGTCTAGAAAATGTTTTCACATTGCTCAACTCGGCAATATTTATTCCGTTTCCATTTTAAAAATCCTGTATCCGCCCCTGAGATGACAAAATTGTCTATTCCATACGTTTAGGGGCCAGCTGAAGCCCGCCTCCGGGTGCGGGATTATCTCGCTGTGTTGAAGACACATTGGTGGCCTTCGGCTGTTTTCTGCTCTTTGGTTGGGTTGTTGTCTCTTTGACACATTCCCCAGTTCCATTCTCAATTTTATTGTTGTTAGTGATGATAATCTTCAAAGGAAAATTTTAATCAAAAGACGTAACCGAGAGATATATTGCGATATGTTCAAATACTAGTGTTATCATTTCCCTATTTTGTAAATATGCTATAGATATAAATGTAGTTTAAAATTTTCAGCATAGGGAATGTGACACTAGTATTATTAAGTTCATAACTAGATTAATAAGTTCACAAAACATTACCATAAGTTTTTGTTGACGGGAATCCATCCTTCGTTTTTACTAAATTTACATAAAATTCCTGCTAACAGGCACTGAAAGGATATATGAAAAGAAATATATGTTTTAACGGGTATAAAGTAAATGTCTTATTTGCCGACATTGCTAAATTTTAATTCGAATATTTGCATACTCGTTAGTTCTGATTTTAACAAGATCTCCTCTCTCTGCATAATTCAAAGTTGGTCGACGATTTTGATGGTTGAAAAGGTGTGTGATATTGAAAAAAAGCCATATCATATGCACTTGACTTCAAACAGAGATGTCAAGTGACATGATTTAATACAGATTTTAGGGAAAACCAATATCACAAACCGTTTCAACTAATATATTCCTTTAATAATGAATGAATAATGTATGCCATTACAAACAAGAGATAACAAATCCCTTATTTAGTTGATAAAGTTGTAGGGCTTACCAAAACAAATCCCTTTTTTACATGGTAAAGTTGTAAGGCATACCAAAACACATCCCTTATGTACAAGGCAAAGTTGTAAGGCTAACAACCAAAGCAAACCCCTTTTTTACATGGTAAAGTTGAAAGGTATACAAAAACGATTACCTTATTCACATGGTAAGGTTTTCAAAAAAAAAAATCCCTTATTTACATGGTAAATTTGTAAGGCTTACCAAAATAAATCCCTTATGTACATGGTAAAGTTGTAAGGCTTACGAAAACAAATCCCTTATTTACAGTGTAAAGATGTTAAGCTTTCCAAAACAAATCCCTTATGTACATGGTAAAGTTGTAAAGCTTACCAAAACAAATCCCTTATGTACATGGTAAAGTTGTAAGGCTTACGAAAACAAATCCCTTATTTACAGTGTAAAGATGTTAAGCTTACCAAAACAAATCCCTTATGTACATGGTAAAATTGTAAGGCATACCAAAGCAAATCCCTTATGTACATGGTAAAATTGTAAGACTTTCCAAAACAAATCCCTTATGTACATGGTAAAATTGTAAGGCTTTCCAAAACAAATCCCTTATGTACATGGTAAAGTTGTAGAGCTCTCCATAACAAATCCTTTATGTACATTGTAAAATTGTAAGGCATACAAAAACAAATCCTTTATGTACATAGTAAAGTTGTAAGGCTTACCAAAACAAATCCTTTATGTACATGGTAATTTATAAAAGTTGTAGAGCTCTCCATAACAAATCCCTTATGTACATGGTAAAATTGTAAGGTAAACAAAAACAAATACCTTATTTACAGGGTAAAGATGTTAAGCTAACCAAAGCAAACCCCCTTTTTACATGGTAAAGTTGTAAGGCTTACCAAAATAAATCCCTTATGTGCGTGGTAAAGTTGTAAGGCTTACCAAAACAATTCCCCACAGACAGAATCGCACTACTCTGGCTGATCTGCTTTTGTATGTACAAAGAATTTTGCCTGCCTGAAAAAAAGGCGTGATTTTTATTGCAGTTGTACGAAAAATATATGTAAATGATATCATTTCCGGGCACAAATAAGAGAGTGTTTCTTAAATATGCACCATATCAGGTAAAGTTGTGATAGCATGTTTGAAAAGCCATTTTTTTTAAAAGGAGAAGAGCACACACAAAAATATCTAAACAGAACAATCGAAGCCGTCGAAGTTAAACTTTAATAGTGGTGGTTGCAATAAATTTTTGAAAGCATAAGTACTTAGTTTATAAGCTTTAAATAACAAATCAAATATATACTAATAATGTAAATTACACCAATAGCGGAGCATTGACTATTAAGCGGATATAGTACAGATCGCATCTTGACACTGTCCGTGGTAACAGAAATTACGAAACTGATGGTTTCATTTCTTAAAAAGCCAGCTGCTTAAAGTGGTGTTTTCAAATCGTTTTAATTTCAATAAGTATTGGAAATGTCTTCTTACTTGTAGTCCGAGAAAACATAGAACACAAGAGGTTAAAGTTCCAAGTAATCCTTCCGGTTCATGTGGCAAGTCGTTGTGATAAATTTCCTAATAAAAATAAGTATACGAATAACATTTATAATTTTTAGTACAGTACAAGTTAAAAAGTGCAATAAATAACTAACTATAACAAAACTTTAAACCTAACAAAACAACACCATAAAAAGGTACAATGTAACAAAAACGGGGAAGAAGGAAACATGCGAAACAAATTATTTGGTCGGATATTGTCTTGCATCCAGCATCCACATAATTGACTAAATATACTACAATAGGAATACTAGGAAGTATATATAAAATTCTCATCGAAACTCGCACTAAAAATCTAAACAGTATAATCAAGGTACATTAATTTAAGTTTTTAAATGTATTACAAAAAAATCATAGTACCTTACACGTAGGAGATCCGAAAATATGCTTTTCTCCGAAAACTTGTCTGTCTATATAACCCGCAGCTCCTCCGGTACAATTATGATGCTTCCCATAGTTTTCTAGTCCTCCTGGCCCAAGGTAACCTCTATATATTAAAATAAACTTATTTTATCATAAGGTCTTATATATTTATATCAAGGCGATATTTTACAGTCAAGACAATATAAACATACACTCAATTATCTGGTATAAAATTATGGATGTATGTACGATATACGGGGCGCCGAATGGGACTTGAATTTTTTGTAATCAAAATCAAAATTGTGTACACAAAATTCAATTCTGTCATAACAAAATCATTTTTGTCTTACAAAACTATGTGATACAGACTTGTTTTATGAGAAGTTCAATTTTGTAATGACAAAATTCTTTTTTGTAGACAAATTAATTTTTGTAGACAAAATTCATTTTTGTCATTCAAATAGGTATGCAAATATAAACCTATTTGCATACAAAATTGACTTTTGTTACCTGCTATGGAAGCTAAAACACAAAATTCAATTTTGTGAGACAAAATTGAATTTGTACGCAATTAATATTTTTGATTAAATTAGCATCCTGTGATTTTGTAATTAAAATTATTTTTTGAGTAGACAAAATTGAGTTTTGTTAGACAGAAGTGAAAACAAAATTGACTTTTGTGACAAAAATGACTTTTGTGACACAAAATTGACTTTTGTTAAATTTTCACTTCTGTTTAACAAAACTCAATTTTGTCTACACAGAAATAAACACAAAATTGAATTTTGTGACAAAATCTCAGTTTTGTATGCAAATTAGTTCACAGAATCCAAACTAAACTGATTTGCATACATAATTGACTTTTGTCGCCCAATTTTCAAATTAGGTAACAAAAAGTCTGTGATACAAAAATGAATTTGTCATGACAAAAGTAACTTTTGTCCACTGAAAGATAATTCTGTATGACAAAATTTAAATTTGTAGTATGCTACAAATTTTGTTTAAACTGAACTCATTTTTTTTTAACAAAACTCACTTTTGTCTGTACAAAATTGAATTTCGAGTACAAAACCACAAGAGTCCCGTTCGGCGCCCCGTACGATAAGCAGTTTGAGTTTTGTTGAAATAAGAAAAGATCAAACACTAAGATACGGTGTAAATTATGAACGAGTAATTTGTAAGAACAAGAAACTGATCTTAGTGCGTGTGATGTTTTATTTTGACAGCTTCGAGTGGTTGTCGTTGATCGCTGTCGGTCATATATTTGCTTTTCGTTCAAAGTGGTTGTACGAATTCGCCTTTGGTTTTCCTTTTAAATTGTTTCAAATTTTGTCATACCGGTATCTTCTATTACTTACGACACGGTACATGTAATGGTTTTGTGCATCGTTGAAGGGTGAATGATGACCTGTATTGTTCACTTTTTTTCCCATCATCTTTATGAATAACTTTTTCATTAAAAAACAATTTACATCTCCATTTATTTTTATTTTCATTTTTATGTAAAATGTATATAAGTTGATCGACATACTTTTCGCAACCGCGAACAGGCAGCAGAAAAGTCAGGCATGTATGTACTAATATAAACAAAGAAATAATAATCCATTCCGACCAGTAGTCAGTAATATCTTTAAATCTTGTCTCTGTCATCTGAAATATACATGTTTGAAACAGAGAAAAATTAAAAAAAGCATTTTGTTCACCGTCAGTGAAAACAATCTGAACGTGGAGGGTTTCACTGATTTTGTATTCAATAAGGCGATACTAAAAATTGAATATTATCTTTTTTCGATATATGATATTGATTGATAGTAACTTGCTTAACATCCAGTGGCAACCACTTTATGCAAATTCAGGACGAAAACTAAATATATGATAAGGAGGTTTTGCAAGCTCAGGATGAAGAGCAGGAAATTTGGACTGCAAATGGTTTATGAGATTGTGTCGGATAGGGGAGACATTTACCTTGCATCGCACGGGCAACCTACAAGCCCTCTAAGTTGCTGTAGTAGACATTTAAAGTGCAGAAAGCTTTATCACCCTACTCGAAGCATTTGTCTTAACGACCCAATGACCACAGAATGTGGCTACGCAATTCTTTATACCGCACAAATAAATGGACAGTCCACTCTAGGAAGGGTTTTACTGGTAGACAGGAAAAGTCAAAGAATTACCACATAACCTAGTCATCTCTTTGGATATCGATATTAATCTATTTGATTTCTTGAGGACACCAACCAAATATCTTTGTATGGGAGCATGACTTTTTTCTCTAGACAAACACACTTTAATCAAAAACATGTTTTAATGAAACACTCTGAGCTGGAAGATTTTTTTAAAATCCATGTTTTGCAATTTTTAAGTTTTTTTTTTACGAAACAGGGTACAAGTATCAATTAAATGTTTTGCAAGCACACATATTACAAAACACGCTGCTGTATGAAATCTTATTATTAGGTCTCTTGTGGAAAGTTTTCTTATTGGCAATCATACCACATCTTCTTTTTTTTATATATATGTAGGACTCAAATCTATGGTGGGTTCCAGATCTATGGCAGATTTCTAATCTATGGTAAATATGACGTCACAAACGCCAAACAAATGATAAATCTATGGCAATTTTTTGTTTTCTCCAAATCTATGGCAGATTTATTATTAGGTAATTTTTCTTGGAAAAAGAGTAAATTATAACGTCACAAGAAAATAACATCATATAACGTCCATGCCGGCGCTAACGATGACGGTTTTGTTATATAAAAGGAAACAAAAAGACCAGTTTTCAAGGAACCTAATACATAAATTAAATTATATTTCAGAATTCAAGTTTACGGTAACGGAAATTCCTACAAATGAAAAGATGAACTCATCTGATTCGATTGAAATAAGAATACTAGCGAAAAAACTCATATAGTCATTCGATGCAGCAAAATCGCTAGTGTAGGCAATTTCACGCAAATGAAATTTTTTTTGGCGTTTTCGGTGTTTATGTTTCGTGTTTGTTTTCGCTCCTTGTTTTTCTTGTTCATGTGTTCCTGATGTTGCCCTCTCCCTTAATTGTACGAGTTATTACTGTGCATTTTGGTTTGGTTTTGCTTTTTGTTTTTCTTTCGTATAATTTTTGTTATGCTATGCTGTTTTCTTGTTATTTTTTTTACCCCTATGGTACTCTTTAATTTTCTTTTAACATAACCTGTACTATTGTAGCAAATAATCTCACTTGAGATTTAAAAACTAAAAAAGATCTTTCATAAACTTCTAATAACTATTTACACCATTTTCAGCTAAAATTAGGTTGAATAACTGTACTGTTGGAGAAATAAGGATTTTTTTAAAATGCCACATTTTTGAGGCAAGTCATTGTTCATTACAGGAGTTAAATCGTCATTATTTAAAAAAGATTAATGCTGATATAAATATTTAGTAAAAGTTCAAACTGATTAATTCTTTTTATACAAACTGATTTTTGAGTTGTTAAGGGACTTGGTTTAATGAAGGGTCAACCCGGTACCATGCACATAGTAAAGGAAATGCTTATTCTCCCGGGGCACATAATTTCACTCCTAAAGGCTTTATAAATGTAATTTTAAGTGCTATTACTTAAAAGCAGCTAGCTTTTTTGCTACGTGATAAAGACATTTCGACTTATTTGAAGAAACTTTGAAATCATTGGTCAGACATGTACTGACTGGTCCTTCATTTGCAGAAAATCTGCCATAGATTTGAAAACTAGAAATTCACCATTGGTTAGGAAACTAAAGATTTGCCATAGATTAGGATTCTAAAAAATCGGCCATAGATTTGGGATGGCACAACGTCATTATTACCATAGATTAGGAATCTGCCACAGATCCGGAACCCACCATAGATTTGAGTCCTACATATATATAGAAGAGGGTGTGGATGGGGAATTTACAGAATTCAAAAAAATGAGCAAAAAAAATAAAGAATACAGAATAAAAATTAAAGAATTGTGTAAAACAATACTGAATTCAGAAAAGGACAATGTCCAGAATATAGTTATCAATTAGTTACAGAATATCCATTATTTTTAAAGATAAAGAATAATGAGCGATACAATTAAGGAATACAGAAATGAAAGACCCTATCCATACCCTCAAAGAACTTAATTATAGATTTCAAACAACAAGTTCATTCAAATAGCAGGATTAACGACATCGTTCACTGTCCACTGAAGTCTCTGTTACCGAATAGGGATAACGGAAACACAAAACAAACAATTAACATATAGTACTTTGTATCATGTGTGTATAGCTGGCTGGTATTATCATTGATTATATAAGCATGTTCTTCCAACATTACCGTATCCAGGAATTAGGAGCAAACATTAGCAAGTTGTGAACGTTTAAATTACCGTATCCGGGAGTTTAGCAACACACATGTGTACTGTGGCTGTAATGAGATAAGTCATAGCAAATCTCTGTAGAACTCCGGGTATTCTTAATTCTGTCATGTATACAGCTGAAAATTCAAATTCAAATTTATCAATAATTCTAAAGTTGACATAGAAGTGTATTTGTGAAAACAATAGAAGCTATATATATTCAGTTTGTATATAGAATTTCAAGGGCAAAACTAACAAGGCAGAATGCTTGTAAGTACGTTAATTTTTTTTTAACAAATTAAGTTTGTTTCACTTCTGTTATTGGAGGTGGTAAAGTGTTATAAATGAGCCTGACATCTTTTTCATTTAGACGGCAACATCAACAAAAAACGCCAATCATGCAGTTGATAATTACGATGTTGGTCAACCATTGTTCAAGATACAATACACTACACACCAGTAAAAGTCTGAAATGGCCTATATCTGTACTCGACTGTACTGATTTTTACTCGACCAGTCTGAATTGGTCTGAAATTTACTTGATAATACTTGACTGAAGTCTGAACCATACTTAACAGTCTGAACTTGTACTCGACCCTTACTCGACCAGTACTTAACCATTTTATACGTGTCTGAACCATGCTCGACCTAGTCTGAACCATGCTCGACCTAGTCTGAACCATACTCGACCTAGTCTGAACCATACTCAACCTAGTCTGAACCATACTCGACCAAGTCTTAACCAACCTAGACCTATTTTTTGTATCTATCTATTGTATTTCATCAATTTAGGAACTGTTTTTAACAACAGCTATTTCCCCTGGCTAGAAATTTGACAACAATTTGAAATTAAAAATGTATTCAATATACATGATATAGCATTGAAACCAAAATTTCACAATAAACATAATATAACTTCATCACCATATTCATCAACACTTATATACATACATATATATCACCTTTAAAATAAAAATAAAACAAGCTGATCAAATAATCTCAAAACTGAATTGTGACTAAGATTTTCAATGTTATTCAAATTTTTTTGAATGTTTCAGATATATTTTATGGTTACTGGACAATTTTCACCATTAACTTAAGCCTCGTATAGATTTATGGTGTCAGTTGAGTTTAGTTAATAATGCAGTGAACATTTTTTTTATTAAAATATATATAAATTAGCATATTAAGCAACTTAATAAATTTAAAAAATGACATCTTTGTTTTATTAAAACAAGAATATAATATAATCATGATAATAGAACTTCCATAGTAATCCTGTGATAAACTTTTAAAAAAGGAAATGTGTTCCAAAGTTACAGTAAAAATTTATTTCAATTAAATTTAAATAATTTTTCTCAAAATTAAAGACATGGCATACAAGAAGCACTTTGATAAGGTTTAATTACCTCAGTCCATGTGTGTTTTACAGGTAAAAAGAAATCCCTATTTAGAATTTAATACTCTCTGACCAGGTGTGATCTTTTTCATGAGTTTGCCCCAAGCAGGAGGTATTACTTTATACTTCACCACTAATCAGAAGAACAATTTTATTAATTTCTTTAATTTTTATTCCTTAAATTTTTGATATATATATTGTATATAATATATCCCAAATTATAATAATAGATATATTTCTAAAATAAGGTTAAACAATTTCAGTGATTTTGTTGGCTGTTGTTACGTCATTAAAAAGATAATTATATAACTATTGTACATTTTTTGTATGTAACCCACCTATGTAGTTTTTATTTAGGAATTTAGGAAAATTAATTTTAAAAAAAACACATGCCAAACAAGAAACACCTTAATAAGGTTTAGTTACCCTCAGTATAGGTGTGGTTTTTTGGTAAAAGAAAATCTTTTTTTAACAAAACTCTAAAACTTTATAAATTATTATATAAGATAATTTGATTTAACTATCTCTATTCGATAAATCTGAGAATCATGTAAGAATGTAAAAATCTGTTTTTATAATATATCTTTATTTTATTGTGGCTGTTGTCATGTCAGTTAAAAAGAAATTTATTTTAACAGTTAAAATTTAGAAAAAGTAGAGGTTATTTGGTCAAGTATGGTTCAGACTGGTTGAGTATTGTTCAGACCTTTGGTCGAGTATGGTTTAGACTGAAAAAAATAGGTCGAGTACAAGTCGAGAATGGGTTAAGACTGTTTCAGACTGGTCGAGTAATAGTTCAGACTATTTTCAATGGCAAAGATAAGGGTCAAGTACAAATCACTACAGTCGAGTATGGTTAAGACTGGGGTCGAGTAATGTCTAGTAAAATTCAGACCAATTCAGACTGGTCGAGTAAAAATCAGTACAGTCGAGTACAGATATAGGCCATTTCAGACTTTTACTGGTTTGTAGTGATACTTCCGTACGTAAGTCGCCAAAAATAAAACCATCGACATTTTATTATGAATGAACTATAATTTTACTGTATACAAAATTTTGTTAATCAATGCTCCTTAACTTCGTAATTTGTTTGGTCTTTTTAACTTTTTTTTTATTCGAGCGTCACTGGTGAGTCTTTTGTAGATGAAATACGCGTCTGGCGTACAAAATTTCAATCCTGGTATCTACACTGTGTCTAAACTACCCCGGCAAAAAATGTTTGGACTCGATAGTATCTAATGTTCGGTACGGTGACGGACAATCAACAGACAGAGAAAAGGTAGAATTTCTGTTTATTTATTTGTTTTTTTAATGACATTGAAGAATATACATACACATATAACTATTTTCGATTGTGTGATGTAATATTTTCTACAACCGTTCTAGATTAATGGAGAAATAAGTAAAAAGGCACACGAAAATTGTGAATTGAGTGAACCTTGCTACGAATTTGTTTAATTTCTCTTTAAATTGTGCACATTGTACGGAAAGAAAAGTACGGAAAGAAAGATATTAACACAGAGATTGCATGGCTAGTCACTATGAGCACCTCAATATTTGCATTTCTGTGCATGGAACGAAAGAAATGGGTCATGTCAAAATGGAAGGACCCTGTTTCGTCAATGTTGTTTATAACACAAGGACCCTGTTTTGTCTCAGTATAGGACCCGGTTTTGTTTTGTTTTGAAACCACAAATTTATGAAAAGCTACGTTAGCACGGATCTGGACATTGCCCATCGGAAGAAATTAAATATTTGAGTCAAAAAGATGTTAAAAAGATGTTATTGCAATACAAACATGTGTTAAAATATATTTCAAACGGGAACTTTTTGAAATAGGGAGTAGACATTTTTGAATGCTATACGTATACCTTATTGATCTGATCTTCGAACTAAGTTTAAATGGAAATAAATACTTTATATCATGTACTTACATTAATTCCTTATGATAGAAAAAAGAAGATGTGGTGTGATTGCCAATGAGACAGCTCGTCACAAGAGATCAAATGACACAGAAATTAACAACTATAGGTCGCCGTACGGCCTTCAACATTGAACAAAGCTCATACAACATAGTCAGCAATAAAGGCCCCGAAATGACAAGTGTAAAACAATTCAAACGAGGAAACTAACGGCCTAATTTATGTACAAAAAAATGAACGAAAAACAAATATGTAACACAGCAACAAACGACAACCACTGAAATACAGGCTCCTGGCTTGGGACAGGTAAATATATACAGAATGGGGCGGGGTTAAACATCTTAGCGGGATCCCAACCCTCCCCCTAACCTAGGAAATGGGTGTAACAGTACAACATAAGAACGAACTATAAAAATCAGTTGAAAAAGGCTTAAGTCATCAGATGGATACAAATAGAAATACATCTCAAAAATGTTTGTTTGTTTTCTATACTACTGTAATGATGTAAAAATAAGAAGATGTGGAATGATTGTGTTACCATATTAATTTATCAAAAGAGTAAGGATAGTATGCTTTACTACACTATACGCTATGTTTACAATATATTTACTCATTCGTTCATCTATTGACGGACAGTGAGAGAAAAAGCTCCGTTTTGAAGGCCGTACTTTGACCTATAATGGTTTACTTTTACAAATTGTGACTTGGATGGAGAGTTGTCTCATTGGCACTCATACCACATCTTCTTATATCTATTAGAACGTTTTGGATATCTCAATCAAAATGGTTGCCTTTCGAACGTGTATTTTATGCCCGCTTCGAAATACACAAGTTCTAAACTTCCCCATTAGAAACAAAATAATTCTATCATGCCATGCTCTACGCTCATTTTAACATAGGTAGGCATTATATTTGTCAATATTTTATACCTGGCTAACGCTTGGTTTAAAAATTTTAACAAATATAATGCCTTCCTATGTTAAAATGAGCATTGAGCATGGCATGAAAGAATTCTTTTTATAAATAAAAGTTGGTTTGCAACATTATAACGTCCAATATCTTCGTCTTCGTCTTCGTAGAACAACCTAATAGGCAATTTAGCCCGTGAAAAATGACAATGAGACAGCTTTCCATCAGAGACCAAATGACGTATAAGTTAACAAATATAGAACACCGTATGGCATCCAACAATGAGAAACGTCCATACGGCATAGCAAGCTAAAAAAGGCCCCGAAATGAAAACTGTAAAAAAAAAACGAATGTGGAAACTAACGACCTAGATTTATGTACAAAATAAAAAACGAAAAACAAATACATGTATGATATATAGCAACAAAAGACAACAACCGATTTACAGGCTCCTGAATTCGGTACTGGTACATACAGAATGGCGATGTTGAACGTGTAAGCCCCCCCCCCACCCCCACGCTCCCCCTCCAAAAAAAAAAAGTGGTATAACAGCACAACATATGAACAAACTATAAAATTCAGTGAGTTCAAAAAGGCTTAACTCATTTGATTACAGAGCCCCTATAGTAAATATGGGATTGGCGGCTGTTTCTGTTTTTTCGTCTTTTATTAAATTTTATGATGGTATACGATATAGTTACATTATATCAGTGGCGGATCCAGGGGAGTAGAGGGAATACGCCGACCCCCCCCCCCCCCCCCCCCACCCCCCCCCCCCCTTTTTGGTGGCTAGAAATAATTATTTTATCATGTTTTTTACGATTTATGTATGATTTTTTATTTAGCATAAAATCGTTAAAAAAAGTTCCCCTTGCTACGCTCGGCGGTATAAAATCCGTTTATGAATACGTCCCTTTCAAAAATCGTGGCCTCGGTCCGCCCTTGCATATTGACAATTTTAAACTTGACCAAATTGCTTAAATTGTAGAACATTTGTCAATGTACGATAATCATTATACAATGAAGAGATAAACCTATATATAATAGTTGTACTATATAGGGCAGTTGTTAACAACTTGATACTAGTGCATTAAAGAATTTGTTAATGTTAAAAAAAAAAGAAAAAAAAAAAAAAAAAAAGAGAGAGATAAAACATCGTTTATTTATATAAATTACTAATCAAATAATCATTATTGCAATTTCCGGATGGCCTAAGACTTTTATACTAATTTATACTTAGTATTATTATAACAAGGAGGGGTAAACAGATTTTTAACGCACTATTATTGTGATCCTTTGCGTTTTTCAACGATCCCTCAAACTGCTGTTGAACGCCATATTTTAATTTTCGTCATGCGATTATGCATTATTTTCTATGACAAAACCGGGTCTGCTTTGTGAAATTTAAGGACAAAACCGGGTCGTACACATTGACAAAACCGGGTGCTTCAATTTTGACATGACCCACTTCTTTCATTCCATACACAGACATGCAAATATTGAGGCGATCATAGTGAAAAGTCTTGAAATCTCCGTGTTAATATCTTTCTTTCCGTACCTTTCTTTCCGTACAATGTGCTCAATTTAAAGAGAAATTAAACAAATTCGAGGCAGGGTTCACTCAATTCACCATTTTGATGTGCATTTTTACTTATTTCTCCATAAATCTAGAACGGTGGTAGAAAATATTACATCACACTATCGAAAATAGTTATATGTGTATGTATATTCTTCAATATCATTAAAACAACATATAAATAAACAGAATTTCTACATTTCTCTGTCTGTTTATTGTCCGTCACCGTACCGGACATTAGATACTATTGAGTCCAAACATTTTTCGCCGGGGTAGTTTAGATACAGTGATCTATGATGAGTTCATTTATTATCTATAATAAAATTCAACACTTACACGAACTCCCATTTGTGTTAATAACAAGTCCAAGTATAAAGAGTATACATGATCGTCTTAATATCTTCCAGAAAATTTTGTGCTTTGGTGTTTCGTTCTTCAAAAGACTCGTGAAGGAATAAATCATAGATGTACCCATAATAAAGACGAACCTGCAAAATCCATAATGACAGTTTTGGTATTATGATACTGTGTGTATCCCACTGGAGTATCCCAATGAGATATAATTGTAGTCAACTTAGCAATATCAGAAATAAGCTAGTTTTGATGCTTTTGTTAGTAGTCTGTTTTCAATCAACTCGTCACAAAAAAAGGTAGATGACTTTTGGTTTTTTGTGTCGTTGGAAAGCTGTCTCGTTGACGTATAGCTAAGCTTACACATCTATTTCGAGGTAATAGTATGAAAACCTTCAGTTAGTGAAGAAGATTTTTTAATAAAATCGCAATATACAATATTACATAACTTACATAACTCACTTGTTCGACTTTTATTAAAATACATCAACATTATTGACAGAAGTAAAAGAAAACTACCTACCATGGAAAAACTAAATCGGCAACGGTCAATCCGTTCCATTTTGAATGACTGAAAAACCAATATCCTCCACCGCCATAATTCACGAATACCATTATTACTATGCTTATTCTGAAGAAAGAATGGAAGGTTTATTCAAGGACAACAGGTATTAACATGTTAGTCCCTTAAACAATTAAAGAATTGGTTTTCATTGTTCCAATATACACTATTCTGTTTAATTTGGTCCTATAAATTAACATTTGAGTAATATTGGATTGGTTCCTAATCCGACTATATAAGGGTATATACGCGGAGATAAGCTACAGAATTTCTGCATTGTCAGTTGTTGCAGTCTTCGCATTGACCTCGAATGCAGATTTCATCATAGTAATATGCTATAAAATCGTAAATAAAGAAATTCAGCAGAATTTAATAACTTTTAACCGAAAGTTGTTGGAAACATTAAAGAAAACTGTATTTTTGTGTATTATTAAGGCGACAATAGTTTACCAATGTTCAAATATTGTAAATCGATAAGCAAGAGACAAACCAACGTAACAAATAGATATGGGGGGGGGGGGGGGGGGGGGGGGGGGATCACATAAAGATCGACACCGATTGCGTTGACTGGGTAAGCGTCTTTTGCTATACATGTATAATTAATATATGAATAGTGTCCCCCCCCCCTTCCCCCTAAAAAAAGAATGTTTTTTTATGAGTATTGAATGAGTTTAAATTTGTCCTTACCCTCTAAATGTATCCAATGATTTTAGCCTCTCTTTCTTTGATTTAGCATCTGGGGATCCACGGACACCTTGAAGATTCTGTGTTGCATCATGTTTACCTGATACGTGTATTTCTGTTGATGATGTAAGACTAACTGATGATATCAAACCACTATGTTTCAGTGAACCGTCATGGCTTATCGTGACCTTAATTAAGATGGCGATGTAGGGTTAATTTTGATAATCTTTATTTCACAGATAATACCTTATTAGGAAGTGCATATAGTATTTAAATTGTAATTAGGGTATTATAATTATTTGGCATTCATTTATGTTTGCTGCATCTTTGGGAGATTGTGGAAACTCTTGGAATATGTCACGAAACAACCGGTACTAATTACAATATTCAAATTGAAAATAAAAGACATTACAACATTCTATTCGACTCCGCTCGACATATTCTATAGACATTTGTTTATGATTCATATATACAACTTTTGATATTTTTTGTTTTGTTGGATTGCCAACCATGACGTAGTACGAGATGTCAATTATACCTTAGCTGAACATGACCTGTACAATTATTAGGACAGAATATTCAGAAAACCACTAGAAGAATATTCTAATGTATACCTGAAAATCTAAATGAAACATTTTACCTGATCAATAAGGGGTTCATATTCACCGTCATTTGAGTTGATCTTTCGACATAGTTTAACCCTGAAAAAAGTAAAGAAGAATCAAGGTCTCACATTGCATACATAACCTTTTTTTATTTTTTTGTATTTGTTCTGCTTGCTATTTTCTGCTCTCTCCATGTTTGCCTTAAAAGCATGCCAGTAATTAAAAAAGTGTAACTTGTATATCGATCACTTCATTGAGACGTCTAGCGTTTCTTGGTTCTCTATTATCCACTCTCTTTAAAATGGCATATGTTCTTTTGTGTAACTTTTGTTAATCACTGATCGAAATTAAAAATGAGATGAATTTCAGATCTACAAAGTCTACTTCAAATTGTTTATGTTAATGTTAATGTGCCAGACCCGTGTCAGTAACCGCGCTAGTGGTCGTCGCAAGTCTGATCGTAATGTGTCGGAGTTTTTAGCGTTTTTTTTTAGGGGGGTTTGTTTAATTTGATTTGTTTCTGGTTTTTGAATTTTCAAATATTCAGAAATGGCGTCTTTAGGTTGCTGTATCATTGACATATAATTCACATCTCTTGTTATATCTTTAGTTAACCAGGAAGAGTATTGAAAAACCTACTAACAATATTTATACCGTGTAATGAACTGGCCAAATTATTTGGAGAAATAATTTCAGTTCGTTTGTTTAACGTCTAGAACCAAAAAAAAATCAGATAGCTTAAACAAACATACAAAAAACGTCTCGTTTATTGTTTTTGAGGTATTGGCTATTCAATGTAATGATGAACGAAAATAACCGGGCAATTTAAAATTTGAATGTGTATGTAATTTCAAAGTCTAAAGCACTCACCAATAGTACTTTGAGAACAAACACCATATTAAAGCTACAGCAAAGAAAATACCAGCCGCTGCATACAGTGCTTTAATAAAAGAAAAATCAACCATGAATCAGTCTATCATGTATACTAAAGACCAAAGGTATGGAAAGCCAAATACATTTAAGGTCGACTACTTCTTTTTATCATTTTGACTAAATTACATTATGGTTTGCTTGTTTCTGTAAAAAGCATACACTTCAACCCTGTGTATACTGAAGACAGAAATAAAGGACCATAAAGCTTTCCCCCATTAATGTAATATCATTTCACAAAAATAGATTTTTTCAATTTTTTAGAATATATGTAAAAGTAAAATATTTGAAAATTGTCCTTAAAAGGTGATTTTTGGTGTAAGTCTGGAATCGTAAATCTTTGTCTTTATGTTTGTGTACTTTTGGAATTATTTGATGATTACAGGTACTGGTAGGTATTTGCAAAATTACATATCCATCCGAACTTCTTAGAGAATACCTTACATTTTGTCGCTTGTCAATTGTTTATAGTCGTTCGCTATCTTCCAGATGTTTGTTTTCAGTTTTGCATTATTATGTACTGTAGTTATTTTTTTAAATTCCAATTACTTAATTTCGGTATGGCATGCTCAATCGGTTGAGGTTGTAGGTTTTTGAACTCAACCGTGTCAAATAAAAAAGACTGCTGTGTCTTCGCAACGAAATCAGAATTATGCAATGATTTAGATAAAGAGTGATTAGGTGTTATACAAAATAAGTTCACACATCATCCCTCAAATGACTCGCATTTATGTTTGTTTTTATATATGATCCATCAATAGTATAACAACGAAAAATCATCAAATAAGAATACCAATGAATGAACTCTTTGGTGACGTTCTTAGTTGAACAGAACAGTTAAGTTTAGCATCTGCAGTTACATTTATTGCATATATCCCGTGTTCTTTAAAATGCATTGACAAATCTTTTTCACTGAAAATGTAAAATAAGACATGATTAGCAGAAATATTAGAAAAGTACAAATAAATTGTACATTCTATATGACAAATCTTATACCAAAAATCTTTGCTTTTTTTTAACCTTTGTACAAGTTTTTAACTGTGCTTTTCTTTGTTTTTTTTCTTCTTTATTTCATAGTAATGTAAATTAAAGTAAAATTACCTGCAGTTAGACTTAATACTGACATCATCTGTTGTTATCTCCAGTCTTGTTTTCCACCTTGTGTCAACTAACACAGTTTTATTCATTACATTTGTAGCTAATGGAAGTAGGAAGCACTACAAAATAATAAAAATTGTACAAAATACACCCGTGATCTACAATATAAATCTTTTTATACTGCAGCTAGAATACTTCCCGTTGTATTTATTTCCCAAATTTAGTACCAAAGTGATAATTCGTGCAATGACGATTTCACGTTACGTTACTTTTCTTCACAATGTGGGGTTCGTTTAGGGATTTTGTGTTAACATTTTCATAATAATAATTGTAGCCATTTTCAGCTGTAGTATAAAAACAATATTATGTTAATGTCAGAATGAAAAAAAAAAAAACAACACTTGTTTGTATTCGGCACAAAACAGTGGCAGGGCGAGGTTTCCCCAATTTCTTAGCCTCATACAAAAAAGTTGATATTTTTTACATCAACCGAATATCGTATATATGACATATATGTGTTTTGAAATTGAAGAGTTAAACAAGAGGGCAATAAAAAGTCGTACAACAATCAGAAGTGTTGTGATATTGTAACTATCATATTTATTTAGTTGGTTTAATTTGTTTTGTGTGGCCTAAGAATGTTTACACTATATATTTTTTATATTGTGTACAAAATAATACACATTGTGTTACAACTATGCAGTTTAGAAATAACTAGAACAATCATTGATACTCATATGGAATGATTAGAACTTTCTATTTCACTTACATAACGTTTCCAGAATGATTATAACAAAAGATGCGTAATTTAAACATCTACAGTTATCTAGAACGTTCCGTTACAAGTATTTAAATGAAGACCCTTAAGTTAGACATAGACTTAGACATGGACATCGATAGTCCAAATAATATGACGTCTTGTAAGGCTATTTTTTTTCTGTGACGCTGAAGGCGTTGAAGATGTCACAGAAAAAAAATAAAATAGCCTTGCAAGACGTCATAATTATTTGGACTAGGACATCGATAGACATTAATATTCTCAGCAGGATTGACACTTTTATTTACAAACTACATCATGCTAGATTGTGACTTATTGGACGTAACATTCTGTGTGGATTCCCGAGAAGATTTCCGGATAAAGAAAAGATAAAAGATTGGACTCATATTTGACAGTTAAGTTGACATTAATATTTGTGTAATACTTCTTGTAAACTTGTGTATAACAAATCTTGTTAAATTAAATTATTGATTTGTGTCTTTTGTTGGCTACAATTAAAAGTCGATTTTTCTGGTCGTAACAGAAATTGGGGGCTCGTACTGTGATAACGTACATATCTCATTGAAAATTTTTAGTATTTTTGTTAGAATTAGCCAACAAAATTCTACAAAATGGCATTTGATGCCTGTAAATTTTTAAAAACGCCAGACCTGGAGGGGTTTGATAATTTAAAGAAAGAGGAATTAGTGTTTCTTGCTAAACATCTGAAATTAGATTTTATAGTATCTATGAGAAAACAAATTATAAGAAATTTGGTAATAGACAAATTAGTTGACGCAGAAATTTTAGGTGAAGAGGCTCTTGAACTTAAGGTCGAAAATGTTGACGCTATCAAATTCAAACAGCTTGAATTGGAACATGAACTTAAATTAAAACAACTGGAAAACGAAGTTAAATTAATATAATTAAAGCAATTGGAAAAAGAAGATGAACTTAAATTAAAACAATTTGAAAAAGAAGAAAGACAGGCAGAACTTGAAATGAAGGAAAGGCTAAAGATGGAGAAAATAAAAAAAAAAGAAGATGAATTTAAACTAAAACAAGATGAATTTAAATAAAAACAGGCAGAACTTGAAATGAGGGAAAGGTTAGAGATGGAGAAAATGAAAATTGAAATGGTCAAAGAAGAAAGCAACACTAAAGTCCAGTCGAAATCAGAACATTTTGACGCAGCAAAAAATATACGTTTGGTTCCCAGATTTTTTGAAAAACAGTCGATAATTATATTCCACAGTTTGAGAAAATTTCCAAAATTTGAAATGACCAAAGCCTTATTGGATTACGATGCTGCAAAGTGTTTTTGAGGGCAAGGCCGCAGAAATTTACTCAGCACTTTCATCAGAAAAAAGTTCTGATTATGACACGGTAAATCAGGAAGTTTTGAAAGCTTATGAGCTAGTACCAGAAGCATATGGACAGAAATTTAGATCTTATAAAAAGTTTGATTCACAAACCTATGTTGAATTTGCTAGGGAAAAAGAAGATCTATTTGATAAATGGCTTACGTCGGTCGAAGAAAACAGATAACAATTTTGATAACAATTGATGTTATTAGAAGAGTTCAAACAATGTGTTCATTTAGACTTAAAAACACATTTAGACGACAAAACTGTTGAGACATTACATGATGCAGCTGTTATTTCAGATAATTATACCCTTTCACATAATAGAAGTTTCAAGGGTCAAAATTTTAATACTTCGAGTGGAATTACAAAAATCAAAGCACTAAGCGTACTGATAGTAAGCCTGTTGCACAGAATAAGAGTCAATCTAGTTATAAAATGTCTAGTATAAAATTTGATACTTTTGAGAAGAAGTCACTGACTTGTGCTTATTGTAAGAAGAATGGTCACCTGATGGCTGATTGTTTTAGACTCCAGAAGAAGAATGAAAGAGATAATAAGCCCAAGACCAGTGTTTGTACGACACCCCGTGTTACCAATACGTTGGAATGTCCTGCGAGTATCGCTTTTCAGTCCAGTTTTTTGTGATTACATGAAGGATTATAAACCTTTCATGTCTGATGGGTATGTTTTTATTGTTGATAATACTACTCCTCAGCCTATTAAGATTTTACGGGACACTGGAGCTTCTCAGACTTTATTGTTAGAAGGTGTGTTGCCTTTGTCCGAGGAAACTTCTGTTGGTGCCTCCGTTTTGTTACAAGGTGTGGAGTTAGGTTGTATAGATGTTCCCCTCCATCGTATTTATCTGAAGTCAGATTTGATAACTGGACCCGTTGTTGTGGGTGTTCGTCCTAATCTACCTGTTGATGGTGTTTCATTATTGCTAGGAAATGATCTAGCTAGGAACAAAGTGGTTGCTGAACCAATTGTTACCAGTGAACCGGTGGTGAATGTTAAATCACCTGAAGATGATGCTGAACTGTATCCAGCTTGTGTTGTTACTATGGCGATGACTAGAAAACAACAAAATGAGGATTTGCAAGAAGACCAGTTTGATTACATGGACCTTTCTGACACTTTCCTAGCCGACATTGAAGCCCTTATAAGACCACCTAGTGTTAACAAGAATGTTATTATGCCATGGAGTGGTGAACAGCCATTCATTCGACCGAAGGAAATTTGCCGAAGAACAAAATAAAGACCCCGAGGTTCTTCAGATCCGCAAGAGGGCTCAACCACAGGAGGAAGCAGACAAAGTGGCCGAATGCTATTACCATCAAGACGGCATTTTAATGAGGAAGTGGAAGCCCCCCTGATGCTACCCCAGAGGAGGAATGGAGAGTGGTATACCAAGTGGTTGTGCCTAAAGTTTATAGGCAAGAAATTATTGGTCTTGCCCATGACACCCCCTTGGCTGGACACTTAGGTATAAGGAAGACTTGCCTTAAGATCTTGCAGCATTTCTACTGGCCAAGACTTAGAAATGATGTCGCAGAATACTGCAAATCATGCCATATATGCCAGGTTGTTGGTAAGCCTAACCAGAAAATACCACCAGCACCACTTCTGCCTATTCCAGCCTTTGGAGAACCTTTCAGCAGAGTACTAATTGACTGCGTTGGACCTCTACCAAAGACCAAGACTGGAAATGCGTATTTATTGACGATCATGTGTACATCCACTCGCTTTCCTGATGCTATTCCGCTAAGGAATATCAAGACACCTACTATTGTCAAAGCTGTTATCAAATTTTTTCACGTTAGTAGGACTTCCCAAGTCTATACAGTCCGACCAGGGTTCAAACTTCATGTCAGGTTTATTTCAGCAAGTCGTGTACCAGTTAGGGATTGCTCAGTATAGATCAAGTGCTTATCATCCAGAATCTTAAGGTGCCATGGAACGTTTTCATCAAACATTGAAGAACATGATTAGAACTTTTTGTCTTCAATTTGACAGAGACTGGGATGATGGAGTTCACTTTCTACTTTTTGCGGTCCTAGAGGCTGTTCAAGAATCCCTTGGTTTTTTTAGTCCCTTTGAGTTGGTATTTGGCCATACTGTAAGAGGACCGTTAAAATTGATGAAGGAAAAGTGGTTTGCTGAACACACTGACTTGAATCTTTTAGATTATGTATCTAGATTTAAAGAAAAATTGTATACTGCTTGTCAAATTGCTCAGAAAAACTTAAAAAATGTACAGAACAAGATGAAAATATGGTATGATAAAGATGCCAGAGCCTGTGATAAGGTACCTGTATTTTTGCCAGTCTCTGGACATCCTTTAAAGGCTTAATATTGTGGTCCTTATACAATAGAGAGTAAAATAAATGATTTGAATTATATTGTAAAAACTCCAGGTCGGCGCAAACAAAATAGAGTGTGTCATATTAATATGTTAAAACCATATGTTGAGCGTACTAATGAATGTGAGAGTAAACCAGTTGCCACTTTAGCCCTGGTTAAATTGGAGAACAATCATGACAAACCAGATGTAATTGAACCACCTTTTATTTCTAAAACTATGGAAGAGACCGTTAGATTGAAAAATTTAGAAATTTTCTCAAATTTAGATTCAAAACTTGCACATCTGTCTTTTGATCGTAGAGAAAAAATAAAAGCTTTGGTATTTTCTTTTAAAAATCTTTTTCCAGATGTGCCAAACAAAACCACTGCTGTTTGTCATTATGTTGATGTAGGCGATGCCTCTCCAATTAAGCAACATCCTTACCGGCTCAATCCACTCAAACTTGAATTTATGAGACAAGAAATTAAATATATGCTTGACAATGATATTATTGAGCCGAGTAACAGTGAATGGAGTTCTCCTTGTCTCCTTGTGCCCAAACCAGATAAAATCTTTCGTTTCGTGACTGATTTCAGAAAAGTAAATTCAGTTTCAAAATCTGATTCCTATCCAATTCCAAGGATAGACGATTGTATTGACAACATTGGTCAAGCAAAATTTGTGAGCAAATTTGATTTGTTGAAAGGTTACTGGCAAGTTCCATTGACACAGAGAGCTACCTGAAATATCAGCTTTTGTCACACCAGATGGCTTATTTCAATATACTGTAATGCCGTTTGGCATGAAAAGTGCTCCAGCTACATTTCAAAGAATCATCAATAATGTTATAAAAAATTTAGAGTGTTGTTATGCTGATATTGATGATCTCATTGTATGTAGTGATAGCTGGGAACAGCATTTAACACATTTATATGACATTTTTGATAGATTGTCACAATCAAATTTGACTGTTAATCTTGGTAAAAGTGAATTTTGCCAGGCCACTATTGATTATTTAGGGCATACAGTTGGCCAAGGTCAAATGAAACCTATTATGGCTAAAGTGGATGCAATTACCAAATTTCCTCCTCGTACAAATAAAAAACAACTTATGAGATATTTAGGCATGATTGGATTTTACCGGAAATTCTGTTCAAATTTTGCTACTGTTGTTCAATCATTGACTCATCTTTTACGAAAAGATTCTAAATTTATCTGGAGTGAAAATTGTCAAAACGCTTTTGAAAATAGTAAATCACTTTTAATCAATAATCCAGTTCTGGTCACTTCAGACTTTGAAAAACAATTTAAACTTGCCGTTGATGCAAGCGATGTAGGAATTCGAGCTGTTTTATATCAAGAGATAGATGATAATGTTGAGAAACCTATATCATATTTTTCTAAGAAATTAGATAAACATCAGAAAAATTATTCGACTATTGAAAAAGAGTGTTTTGCACTGTGTCTGCACTTAAACATTTTGATATATATTTAAATCCTACTGTGTATCCTATTCTTGTTTATACTGATCATAATCCTCTCACCTTCATACATAAAATGAGAAACAAGAACCAGAGGTTGACTAGGTGGAGTTTATTGTTACAGGAATATGATGTTATTGTAAAACATATTAAAGGTAAAGATAATGTAATAGCAGATGCTTTATCTAGAACTTATTAAAACACTTTGTATATACTATGTATTTTTGTACATATTATTCATGAAAAGTTTAAGGGGGAGGTGCTATGATATTGTAACTATCATATTTATGTAGTTGGTTTAATTTGTTTTGTGTGGCCTGAGAATGTTTACCTTATATTTTTTTGTATTGTGTACAAAATAATACGGATTGTGTTACAACTATGCAGTTTAGAAATAACTAGAACAATCATTGATACTCATGGAATGATTATAACTTTCTATTTCACTTACATAACGTTTCCAGAAAGATTATAACAAAAGATGCGTAATTTAAACATCTACAGTTATCTATAGAACGTTCCGTTACAAGTATTTATATGCAGACCCTTAAGTTTGACATAGACTTAGACATGGACATCGATAGACATTAATATTCTCAGCAGTTGGATTGACACTTTTATTTACAATACATCATACTAGATTGTGACCTATTGGACGTAATATTCTGTGTGGATTCCCGAGAAGATTTCCGGATAAAGTAAAGATAAAAGATTGAATTGGACTCATATTTTGACAGTTAAGTTGACATTACTATTTGTGTAATACCTCTTGTAAACTTGTGTATAACAAATTTTGTTAAATTTTATTATTGATTTGTGTCTTTTGTTGGCTACAATTAAAAGTCGATTTTTTAACAGAAGTTAATGAAAGGCAAACATCAAAAGAGACAAAATATAGTATAAGGACAATGAACAAGGTTAAGCAACACAAACCATTTACCTTATAACATTCTTCACTTTGTGATAAAATGTTAATGGCGATGTCCGATGTTATGGTAACTACTGCATTGTCTATTGGGATGCTGGAATCATCCCGATACTTATTTCCAAAAGACAGACTTTTTACTCCTCTATCGAACAATGCTAACACTACAAAACATTGAAGTTGTTAAAGTTTGTATATTAACTGATTAACAATACATGGAGCAGTTGTGAGTCGCGTTTTCCCACAATTCTGCAGAATGTGTATGCATATAGAACAGAAACTGTCTACACGTAAGGTACAACTGAGATTATTTGAAACAATAGTGTATCTTCATTTCTTCCAGCTAGCTTGTGTTACATGTAAACACACACGAACAACTGTACATATTCGCGCAAAGACATTACCAGATAAGTTTGTTTTTTTCTTATTCTTTACTTAAAAAACACCAACCTTAAAACTTTAAAGCATTATAATGTTTGACTAAAATACCATAAAATTGTTTATAGTTTGCTTACAGATAAGAATGATTCGACATGTCATCTCTATTACATCAAATATCCATTCAATTGATAATATATATTTCAACAAACTAACTTATTTGTGATATTCGGACAAATTTCAACCTGATAACGAGAAATAGATTAACCCCTATCAGTAGATAAATCATGAAAGATAACATATTATTTTATTAAATATTATTCTTAATACATTTTACTAGATTAGAATGAGACATACAAGCGGAACAAGGGATGGCTTGGCTGATTTGGGATGACCCCCTCCATTTCTAGGTTGTGTGAGTGTATGTATGTGTTCGGGGCAAGACTATGCTTCAGTCGAAAATTTTGATAAAATCAGCATGCGTTGTACGATACTGTATAATTCACATTAGTATTTACTTATAAATGGTTTTTCATTTGTGCAAAAATAATTACTCCCCCCTCCCTTTATATCATTCTAGTCTCACCGTCACTATTGTTACTGGATGGCGTTAAAGAATTCAGATGAAACTGATACAACTCAAGATAAATACTGCGGCGCCCGAAATAATAAAACAACTTGTTACGGAAGAAATAAAACTTGTCCGTAAATATCAGATATGGTAACAAATTATGCTTTTTATATAAAATTCTAAAATCCGGTATAAAATGTAATCACATACGCTTTAAATATAGAAATAAGGAGATGTGATTTGATTGCTAATGACTGGGACAAAGTTCTATATCCAACAAAGACCAAATTACCAGGATGTAAACAACTCCAGTTCATACATATGGACTTCAACAATGAGCGAAATCTATACCGTGTATAAGCCATAAAAGGCTCCGACAATGAAAAAAAAATAATATATTTCCAATAAAAATAGACATTGCCATGCCCCAAAAGAAAATCGAAGAAAAGACAAACCAAAAATAACAATACATTACACAAAAACTTAAGATTCGACCAAAACCCCGAGGGTGATCTCAGGTGTTACAGAAAAGTTTGCGGTTCCTGTTCCACTCGAGGAAAAGAGGAAGGGATTGTGGGTAAAACAAGTGGGACATACCCGTGGTCATCTGTGACACAGATATTCCATAACGGTCAACCAACTCACGATTTCGTCCGTAAATCTAACGAAGGGATGACTTCAACTTATCATTTGGAAGTCTTGGTGCAATAGTTTCCTCTTTCAATGAAGTGGGGATACGAAACACAAGCCCAGTAATAGCGTATCAACTGAGAAATATACACTCCAAATGCAGGCTCTGCTTGAATGATGCTGCACAGAAATGGAGAGTGCATAATCATTGAAATCACTTCTTTAATCTAAATATTTAGTTCTAAACCGACCTTCATTGTCAATTTCTATCATTGAGATAGATACTCTTAACATTGCCTCTTCTACCAAAATTTTTAAAATATAAAGTAACTATCCTTATTTTTTAAAGGAATATTAGAATGAGTATTTTTCAATGTTCTCAGATGAAAAAGCAAAGTCAACAAAGGTTAAGAAAGCTGGTTTCTGAATTCAATAAGTGCGGGCATTCTTTGGTTTTATTTAGTATTGTTCTGCGTTCATCAGTTATTAGTTGTCTCAGTAGCTTTTTTTCTAAACGGACTTTTATTGTACATTCTTCTGTGTAATTTGAAATGACGTTGGATAAAATAAATAGTAATTTTTGAAATATTGAATGTCAGACAAATTGAAAACTAAACAAGAGTGCACTAAAAAAGCTGAAATAATTGAAAAATTGACCTTATTTTGCTTAATTTTTCGAAAGCATTCGATTAAGTCCCTCATGAGAGACTACTCTATAAAGAGGAGTACTATGGTATCAGCGGGCCAACACTCCAGTGGATAAGGGATTTTGTAAGCTCCAGAAATCATATATAAGAGTCGTTGTGGATGGTAACACATCTCACACTGCGCGGTCCCCTGTCCAATCAGGAGTACCACAGGGTAGTGTGCTTGTGCCACTCATGTTCCTACTGTTTATCAACGACCTACCGGACTACGTACATTCATCAACAGTTCGTTTATTTGCAGATGACTGCGTACTGTACAGAAGGATCCAAAATGATGCAGACTCAAAACTACTACAAGAAGACATGAACAACTTGTTCAGATGGGAATCTGATTGGCAAATGGTAAAATATTACTATGAAATGAGGTCAAAGGTAGGTGAAGTCTGTATCGTGACTTGTTTACCTTACGATTATTTAGATCAAACTATATATATCCACAACGGAAAAAAAATCAGAAAATAGAAAATTCTTTAGCAAGTTTTACTAAACTGCTAGAACCATTAAAGTTGTTGTCAAATTCGAAGCACATGCGCCATCTGATGCAAGATATGGAGTTGTCTGCTCTTCTACCTTCTGAAATAAAAAAATATAGCATCTGTGTGTCTCTCATTCTGGGCATCATCTCAGGCAAGTAGATAAAAACTAATGTACCCTTTGGAGATATAGTATTTTCAGATCCAGAATTTTTCTTTGTTTTGTCTTCCAGAATATGTCCATTGGAATTTTTGTCTTAGAGTGATTTTAAGCATTTACAGATCCTTCTCATTGTAACCCTAAAAATAGAATTGTCAACAAAGAAATAACTAGTTCTGCATGTATGATTACTCCTATGACCACAAAATAGTCTGATGACGAGAGTTGTAGAATATGCATCAATGAGACAGCAACCCAACAATACAAATATCATTAAACAAGAGGTGCTTAAAGCCTAAAACGCTCACCTGTTAAAAATATGCAATTTTGGTATTTATTGTTATCTTTATTGCAATAAGTTATGCTTGCTAATTTGTAGATCATGTATTGATAAAAATTTTTACAGTTTCTACATATCTATTTATACTTAAAAGATTTTCGAAACGATTAGCAAAAACACACAAATTAGTAAAAACATACAAATTAGTAAAAAACAGTCATCATTTAAGGGCAATAACTCCCTAAAGAGCCATCCAATGATTTTGGTCATATTGAAATTTTTGAAGATCTTGTACTGCTGATCATTTTTGCTTTTACATATTCTTCCTGTGTAATGTATTAAAGTTTTTGAGATAATAGGAAAAAAAAACCTAAAATAAGTAAAAAATTATCATCTTATAACTTTTTTGAAAATAGCAAGGAGATAGATCTGTAGAATTTTTCCTTATGTCAGAATTTTTTCTACCTATCATGGTTTTCAAGATACAAGACAATAAATGTATTTTACCCTTATGTTTTATTTAAGCCATAGTGTCCATGTTTGTTGATAGACAGGAAGAAAAAAAACACTTCCTTTAACCTAGATACTCTAAGGATCATTCAGTAAAAAAAAGAATACCCCCGCTCAGGCTAGCTTATAATACGTGAAAATACTTTTCAGAGCATTTGATATCACTGCTAGTTAGAGTGCAAAAACAAAACAAAAAGTTATAAAGGGGCATAACTCTAGAGCGGTAAGTGACACACTGCCCAAATTTCAATTCTGTCTGCAAGTTTTCGTTCTAAGCATGGTGTATGAGTTTCATAGAATTTGGATGAGTAAAACTTCTGTTATAGTGCAGAATGACAGAGGGAAGAACGGATGGACAGTCAAGGGTAACACTTAATGCTCCTTCGCCTAGCCCCAGGAGCATAAAAAAGTATAACAAAAATACCAAACTCCAAGGCAAATTCAAAAAGGGGCAGTCCATAAAAACTGACAAAATCAAACGCTATCAATCAACGGAGCAAGTGAAAAACAACTGCCATATTCCTGACTTGGTAAAGGCATCTTCCAAAGAGTAGTTTCGTTGAATTGGTCTGGGTGATTCAGAGAAAAATAGGAAAAAAAATTACAATGACAAAGACAACGATTGTGGATACCAAGTGATCACATGGCCCATAGGACTAGGTGAGCTTAAAAAATATCTATAGGTACTGTCTTCAACAATACTGTAAATTCAGAAATTATTGCATGCATTTATTATTGTGATTGTTGAAAAATTACCAAAAATGTGAGTTTAACTATTGCGAATTTTGGAAAAGCTACATACAGATAGATATATTTATTTGATATCAGAAACTACTCAAGTAGTCTCGTCATTTGCATTAATAAAAACCTCGCAATAATTTCTGAATTTACATTAGATAGGTGTCTATGTCTCACTATGGCAGCACTAGTTACTCAAAGTAAACAAAAGTTGTAAGAACATTTTGACCATGACTATCAAGGATCTAATACCAATTACAAATTCCCTGAATGATAAATACAGCAAACGACTTAGAAGAGGGGCACAAACAGTGTGGCAAGGCTTTGTTCAGTTTTAAGATATGCTAGTACATATTAACATGGATGAAAATACTGAGACACAGTAATATTCTGGACAGACTTTTATATATAAAATAAGTTTTGTCTATATTTGGGAATCATAAGATCTATGTAAAATTCATTCATATACTACTAAAAACCTTCTACCATGAGAAATAAAAATCTGAACTCTAAACACTTAGGATGCAACTATAAATTCTACAAATAATGACAAGATAAGCAAGTAAGCAAAGCAAATTTCATTCATTTAATAACATATTTATACTGTAATTGTTTTTAGTTATAAATAGAATAAAACACATTTTTCTTCATATTAGCACATATATAAATATTAAATACAAAAGCATCTCAAATCCCTTCCTTCATGTCTCATAAACACCCATATTAAGATGACGAATATATATACAATTTAATCTTTCCTTGAAACTCATTGGAATAACTATGATTTATATCTTTGCCCTGTAAAATCAGGTTCAACAGACCAGTTTCATTCAAATACCTGTACTAAGTCAGGACTAAGACACTTAATTAAGAAATTGTTCCCCTGAGGATTGTTTACAATATTAAGTTTAACTTATCAAATCATGAAAGCACTTCATAAATTATCATTATTGATTACTGCTCTGATTTGCAGTTCCTGAGAAAACTTTATCGGGCAGACGACCAGATGTAGACCAGTATACCACCTTCTTTTGGACTGGGGGTAAAACAACACTTATTCATTCAAAATTACATACATTATTAAAAAAAAACATGATTGTCATGATAGCTGTCATGAAACTTTGATCAAAGTGAGCTTAAAAAAATGTATAATGTAAACAGATATTTATGAAACAACCATTTTTTGGCAGCCTATAACAAAAAGATGGCATCATTTTTAAATTTGAAAAAAAATGGCACAGTGATAATTTTTATAAAATTATGTTTCTTTCTTGAAATAAGTTCAGAATTTAATAAAAAGATACATGAAAAACATGTTAACATGAAGTTAAACTATGAATTATTACTCACTAATGATTTGCAGTTCTCAGAATAATCCAATGCAAATTTCATACATGTTAACAAAAAATCAAAAATGCATTACACAGTTTAACATGCTTACATGCAGCTTGATGCCAGATTTCAGTAAGCTCTGATTTGCAGTTCCTGAGAAAACTTTATGGGACAGATGAGCAGATGTAGACCAGTATACCACATACTTTTGGATTGAGGTAAAACAACACTTATTCATTCAAAATTACATACATCTTTAAACATAGCACAACAATTTATTGATGATTTTATAGAAATTTTTCGGGGTTTATCAAATTTTTTAATTCTCAAATATATATTTAATATAAACATATCACATGCAAATTAAAGATATTTAGAAATCTTTTTCATTCCATTTACTTTGAATCTTTTGAGACATATTGACTCACAGTTTTGAATACCTTCAATTCCAATGCAAAATATGACTTAACACTTTCATGGGATTTTATAATTTCCTACATTTCAAATGCGAGCAAAATACCAATCTGTTTAATCCATAATATTCACATATATAGTACATTAATAAAAAAAAATCCATATTTTTATTAAAAGAAACCCATCTTATTTGCTTTAGAAATGGAGGCAATTATAAAAACACTTGAAATTTACAGAAAATCACCTTATGAAAAAAGAAGATTGTTATATAAAAGTTAATAAATACAACTGTTATTCACGGGGATACTTAAATTATTAAATAAATAACATACATCATAATAAAGTACTGTAAATCAGAAATAATGTGAATAATGGTACAGGATGATCATCAATTAATGAAAACTAATTTTATGATATTCACTAGAAATACTCTACAACAAATTATTCAATTAATCCTAAATAATAAGAGTACCCATTAAATTCTGAACTATCAGCACATTACAGAATATATAAATAACAACAAAATAACCAATCCAATGTGCTATATATATATATATAAGCAAATCAAAATAAGTATCAATACATCTTTAAAAAAATCTAAGTAATTTAATACTTATATATATCATATAAAAAATCAGTTGTTTATTAGGACATTCATGTCATATTACAAAGAAGAGATTTTTATGGAAACAGTATAATGCTACAATGAGCCAGATTGCAGTTCCGTAAACATCTAGTGCTAACAGACTACCATGGTGCTGTGGGACTCTCCAGCTTATAGGGAAGTTATGATGAAAAAGTTCATGTCCCATATACAGCAGTATTGAGTTCATACCTGAAAGGTAAACCATATATTAAGAAAACATTTCAAAAGAAACATTAATGTTTCATTAAAAATTCGTGTCAGAGAGCCTTAATCACCTTTCAAAAGTGCATGTAATGGGACAAAATTATTATATCATTCTGTTTTCATAACTTTTTTTATGTTAAAGGGGATATCAACTCAAAATATATCTAGGTGTATATAACAGATTTCTTTCTTTTGAAAACTTTTTATATAAACAACTGATTTCTATCAGTACTCAACCACAAACACAATACATTAAAATGTTGACCTCTTTCAAGCTTTCTTTATAAAAATTAGAAACATAATATGCCAATTAACTACTTCATTGAAAACGCTTTTTAATCACATAAAATTATATGTAGATTTTGTATATTGTTGTAAACAATATGAACTAGATATCATTGAGATTGGTGCCATCTCTGAGGGCCCCGCTGTGAATAATGTGTGGTAAAAAATTTGTATCTTTGTCATTGGACATGGGGTTGTCAACTGAAACCAAAGTTTTTGACCTGGACCTTTGACCTAGGAAGTTGTACATAAATTATGATACACCCTCTGGTGTTAGTTTATACACATGACACGTATATATTTTGAAATCGTAACGGTTCTCAAGATATAGAGCGGACACGATCTTTACCATAGGACATGGGGTTGTAAACTAAAACCAAAGTTTTTGACCTTTGACCTAGGAAGTTGTACATAAATTATGACACACCCTCTGGTGTTGGTTAATATACATGTCAAGTATAAACTTTGAAATCATAACGGTTCTCAAGATATAGAGCGGACACGATCTTTACATTGGACATGGGGTTGTCAACTAAAACCAGTTTTTGACCTTGACCTTTGACCTAGGAAGTTGTACATACATTATGACACACCCTCTGGTGTTGGTGAATATACATGTCAAGTATAAACTTTGAAATCATAACGGTTCTCTAGATATAAAGCGAACACAATTTGTTAGGGACAGACGGACGGACAGACTGATCACTATAGGGCGTCCGCCATTCGGTGGGGCCCTAATTAAAGAAGATAGCTGGCATACACCAATGACATATGAGACAGCAACTTACCAACATATAAACACAAAAAACAAAAGATATCTAGGTTAACATAAAATCTTCAACAATAGACAGGTGTCTTTAAAATAAGTCAAGTTCCAAGTCTATTCCATCTTTTCGTCATCTATGTTTTTAACTTTTCTTGCTTCTATTTTCATACAGTTTTATTACAAATATTAGCCAATCATAAACCTCCGTGAAAATTACAGTTTGAATAATTTATCAAAAATGGTATTTATTTATAAATCTTATTTCTTATAGAGAATTTTTTTTTTATAATTTATGATATCTAATTCACATTTAACATACTGCAGATATCATTCCCATTAGTAGGAAATCTCCTACAAAGGCAAGAAATATGGAAGGAACTTTAATTATAAAACTATAGAATAATGATAGAATGAATAGACTTGTGATGTTCGGTTGGAGTCTCATTGATGTTAAATCACATCTTCCCTAATTCATAGTTTCTCCATACTTGGCAATGCATTGCTTGGATAAAAGGATTAAACTAACACATGGCATTTTTTTTCATCACATTCAGTGCTGCAGGATAACAATAATTTTTCTGATGATTTGTGCATTGTGCGGAGGAGTTGAAAAGTGCATACCCAACAATTTATACTTTTATACTTATCTATGATCTTTTGGGGACAAAATTTCTATATGTTTGTTTTATAATCTAGAAAAGCTGTCTCATGACATTACAATTATGTTACCAACTTTATTTAGAAAATTAAAATTGGGCAGATGAAGATAGCAAATGGAATGTATATGAAAATCATGTATTCTTTAGTTATTCAAAATTCAAACTTTTAAATATTTTTTCAATTTCAATTTTATATTTCTGTTGAGCAAAATCAATTCAAACTTGATGTTTTCTGAAACAGGTAAATCTTAATGTTGGTGCCTATAGGAAAAGGTCACAGGTGTGTTCACAAAGCTTATGGTGATTAATTTTTTGTAATTTCTTTTACAGTAGACCAAAAAGTGGTACAACCCGAACTGTACCAGCCATGGTGTGTGCTTCACCATTCAATGGTCAGAAGCTCTAACTTTTGGGTTTATGGATTACATGGTTTGACAAAAGGTTGTACACATCAGTAAAACATACTGTGAACCCTTTGTAAATGTTAACTTGCATTGGTATGAAACATGACAGAGAAGCTTCTTTTATAAATAACTTAAATATTTTGCGCTCTTCTAATCAGAGCCTATATTTTTGATACCTCTGCCATACATCATTAAGTATTCAGTGAATTTAGTTGACTATTTAAAACTTTGGCAAAACTAAACAAAAGCAGATCATTGAGGAATTTTACTGTAACAACAAAAATGGTGGATATTTCCTGTTATTTGAGCAAGGATATATACATGTTATATGATGTATTGTGTATTTAACTTGAAGGAAGTGCATAGGGGTAATTACAAATTGTATTTTACTATGAACTGATGAGCTTTTCAGATAGTAACAAAGATCTTTCTTTCATGCATCTCATATGTAAAATAACACCAGAACAAGGGTCCCCACACATCCATTGGCAGAAGTCGGCTGTGTGTCTCGGATACATAAAATCCGACAGGAAAATATGTTTGGAATGTCTCATGGAACATATAAAAGCTGATAGAATTCATTCCTGTGTAAACATTAACCATAAAATTATGTTATAAAAAAATTTTTGTAAAAAAAAATAACATCAATTTTATACAGCTTACCTAACATGGAAATGGAAGGGGAGGGACAAAAATAATAAATATGTGGGTTATGTAAAAATGTTTTTTTTTAAATCACGATAACTTTTTCAAAGTACTTAAAGGTGAAGAAAATATCTAAGGAAAATATTTGCATTCTATGATAAACCGCATTAACAAATATGACATAAAATATAAATATATTTACAATTTGGTTTTATTTTATTACAGCTGACAACCATTTGAAACTATGCACATACTATCTGGATACACGTTTACATGATAATACATAAAATTTAACTGTAGAGAGTTGATAAATATTGTATTGAACGAGATTTGGTGGTGGAATCTCTTTCTTTAATGAATTTTAGACTATATGTAGACACGCTTAATCCTTCTTTTCAAATGATCTGCAAAAAGATGTGTTCTTTCTATATGCCATCATCAGGCATGGTCACCTTTTATGTCATAATAGGAATTCAGAGAAAAGCAAGAAAATTTGACATAATAATCAAATTTTGACCAATGAAGAACTGAGATCAAACTAACCACATGTTGATTAAATAAAAATAATCAACAGGTCAGGAAAAGGATAAATCTGGTAAGAATTAGAGAAAAGCATTTATCTGACAGTGTCTATTTTAAAAACATGACCAGAACTATATCAGTGTTAAAAGAAAAGTATCAAATTAAGTAGTTTTATGTTTCTGACATTGTCTTTTCAATCTTGATTTGACTTATATGATTGCTTCTAAAATAGCATCCATGTGTAGGGTTTTCTCTACTTATCTACTAAATGTTGAACAGAAGTTGTTGTTTTAATAATGCTTCTTGAACCAGTGTCCAGATGTTCAATTATCTGACAATGTCAACTGAATAATGACTAGAACTCCTTTTTTACTTACTGCCTATTAAATAATGGTCAGAATTCTACCATTGCTTTGGGAACAGTACCTAGATCTATATTTATCTCACTATTGAAACATAACAAGAAGTGAATAATTATGTAATTACCTGGGTAATAAAATGGAGCACCATTCCAGAGTTTCCATTCATCTATCATCAGGTAACAGAATGTTAGTAAAATAAAGGCAAATCCTCCAGTACAAAATACAAATGATACTGACCTACAAATGAAAAGACATTAGCACTACTATATGTCAATCAAAGAAGTGAGACATTACGTGTAATCCAAGTATCGAATGCATGCAAACTAAAAACTTATATATTACCTAGCAAACCACATTTTAAATCATCATCTGAGTTTGTGAAAAACTCTTAATAAATGAATACATAAATTAGTATAGATGTAAATTTTGTGTAGTAACATAGTAATTATACATTATATAGATTCTATTTTCCAGGTACTTTTAATACTTATATGACATTTGAACCCACCATAAAACCCATTCACAAACAATTTAAAGATACCCTTTAAAGATGAAAAGGATGCAGGCCTAGTCCACTAATATAGTTTTTTTTATTTTCTGTAAAGTATATCATTTTTCATCCAATATTTTGCAGAGAGGATTACAAACTTACCAAAGGTTTTTATTTACTGGTATCCAACCTTCATTTTTACTAAATTTACAGAGAATTCCTGCTATAAGGCACTGAAAAATATAATGAAAAAATTTATTTTACATAAATTGAAGCATAAGAATTAATGTATGTAACATGAAAGTTGCATTAATTAAAGATTGTTAATAATGTAAAGAAAAAATTAAAATGCCTTTCAAATTTTACAGGCTAAGTGCTAAATTAAAGATTTTAAAAGATTCCCATACAACTGACAAAGATCAAAGACACTAAAATTCCTGATTTCACTTGAACTCAAAAAGATAATCTTGCAAAATTTTAACATTTTCTATCTGCACATTAATCAGGCTTCGTGAATATTAATGTTTGGGCATGACACTATGTTGTTAAATAGTCTTATTGTAAACAATTACCAATGCAAATCCCCATATAAGGAGTCTTTTTACTCTTTGTTGTCTGTTTTTATATGTCATAAAAATTTTCCCTGCCTGAAATAAAATAGAATTCATTTACATTCTACAGAAAAGAAAAAACACAATGAATACAAAGAATATACATATCATAATAACAACAAAAAAACATCTAAAATCAATGATTCATGTGGATTCTGAAACATGTGTCATGATCATTAAGAATCAAACATTTTTTTTAAATTTTGTCTTATATGGCATGATAAAACTTGTTTACCTACCAAATTTACATTCAGACTTTTCTGCATATATGTCTAGAAATGTGTCCTAAAATCAACATATCAGAATTTGTAACTGCTACATGAGAATGGTTACACTGGTGAAACAGTAACATTCACCATTTTAATTTTATTTCATATATGTGAGGTACAGAGTTTGGTTACATTCTCTTTTTACAATTATTTTTTTTCAGGGTTACAATGGTTTATATGTTACAGTAACACTTGGTTAATTAAAAAGAATCTAAAAATTGCTGGGTTACATTGGTTACATTTTCAAGAGTTATCTCCACTTTATTTACAGTGCATTCCATATCACTTATGTTTCCACTAAACCAGATCAAAAGAATGGTATTTTTGTAAAATTCTACCTATTCTGAACTGAATTTAATGGAAATCTACAAATTTGCATGTTTTTTTCATTAAGTGTTATCACAGTTTGTTACCTTCTTAGAATGTCACTTAAATTTAATGTTTTTACACAGTTGCTACAGGATTAAGAGTAATAGATGTTAAAAACATCCAGGACTGGATAATATCATATTTATATTAAGTATCTCAATAGAAATCATAGTATTTAATTCATCTGCTTTACTTAAGGCTTTGCACGATCTTGAAAGCACATAGTAAAAACATTTTTCTGGTATGTAAAAAATAATTAAATATGATGTCAAAAATCTACCTGTAGTCCAAGGAAACATATAACACATGATGTCAGTGTTCCAAGCAATCCCTCTGGATCATAGGCTATTGTGTTTTTATATATCTCCTGGAAATTGTTTGAAAATCATTAAAAATAGGAAGGTACATTAATCTTCCATTATAGTTTTGCTAAACATATCAGTTAATTAATAAAAATGCATGCAGTATTTTTACAGGGTATGAAAAAAACAGCTACATGTACAAAATAACAGAGATGGTGGCTTGTTTGGTAATCTGTATTTTGATATATGAACATTTAAAATTTTAATTTTATTTTGAGAGTTGCTTTGGCTTAATACATTGTTACAGCCACTTTGTCTTGTAAAACTTCACACATATTATACATTTTTTAAGTATCTTGGTGTACGGATTCTAAGGGTAATAGAAAAGTTACTGGTTGGACATGAAAATATATCATGCTAATGTTAACAAATACTTTTAATATAAGTAAATTTACAATATGAAGTAAATACCTTGGATGTAGAATTTTGAAAGATATGATCTGAGCCAAATATTTCTCTGTCTATATATCCATGTACATATAAATATATTTACAATATGAAGAAGATACCTTTGATGTAGGATTTTTATAGATGTGATCTAAGCCAAATATTTCTCTGTCTATATATCCAGCAGCACCACCAGTACAATTGAAATAACTACTATTTTCTGATAGTCCCCCTGGTCCTAAATATCCTCTGAAAAAAAACAAAGAGCTATCTTATATGCTGACTCTGAATTATAGAAGAATCTTAATAAAATTTTATATTAGACACAACAGTAGATTACCAATGTTCTAATCTCATAAATCAAATCAAGGTAAGCAATAAAACTCAGGGAATTTAAACCAGATGCTCTCATCAGGAGTCAGTATTGCTCAACTGACAGTTATCAAAATTGGTGTTTCCATGTATACCTGTTTGTTTTAACAAAAGATAAATTATTTGGTCTGTAGTCACTGGATTTTTTTAAAGTCAAATGCATATTGGGTTTATTAAGGCATTGTTCTGTACAATTACAAGAAAATATAAAGCAAGTCCAAGGGGCAAAATAAAATTGAAGAAAAAATCTATGATAATGCAACTCAAAACAAAGAAGAAAATGGAAAAATATCAAGTGAAATATTTCACCTTGTTCTTTTCATTTATAAAGTGGCTTTGCTTTTCTCTTAACTTAACACCACCCATTCATATATTGATTTAAAAGAAAATACCTACCCATTCATATATTTCATAAGAAAATCACAACCCATTTATATATATTTCCCAGCTATCATGACATCTAACTTCAATGAGATATTAACCAAATGGGATTTGTGATTTATATTATGAGATAATAAGATCAGAACACAGTTTTTACAGACATCTTAACAGAAGATGAACAAGTATGACCCATTGACATATAAATTTCTACCCATTGATATATTACCTCTGTGAAATTGCACCCCATTGATATATTTGAAATTCCAAAAAAGTGACCCATACCAGCCGCACATCTGTATATACCTTTCTATAGGAAGAGACCCCCATGCTTGACATACATGCCTTATTGCAAAAATCATATGTTGTATTTTTGCCAATTAGAAATGTATCCATAAAGATCAAAAGACAAAGATGAAAACAATTACAGGTCACCTTTCGCAATCATCAATGAGAAAATCCATAATGTATGATAAGCTATAAAAGGCCCTGGTTTGTAAAATGTGATTCACTTCAATATAAAGGCCTAAAATATTTTAACTGTTACTTCTGAGAAAGAAATGACCAAATGATAATTCAATAAGTTTTTTCTAGTTATGTTAGTAACTTCAAGGTATATTTTATAGATTTGTATCAATGTGCTTCAGTGATTCATTTTTATATACTTACTTAGGACAGCCAGGAACATCTAGTCCAAACATTAGAACACAATATATTCCAATGAAAATAAAATTAATTATCCATTCTAAAGGATAATCTGTTATATCTCTGACTGGATTGGTACGAGTAGGCTGAAATAGAAAATAAACTCAAAATAAAAGACACTATGATTGTTGTAAATATAAAATAAACCAGTACTAAAAATAACTATTTTTTTCAAAAAAGAAAGAAGAGAAATGCATTTTCTTTCTATCATACATAGTTGCAAAACACTTCCTTAATTCCTAAATAGTGAATGAAAATACCACTTTAAAGGCCTTTCTGTATTCTCCTTCATCAGGAATACTCAAACCCATAACATCTGAAAGTTAATGATGTATAAAACCTTAATCATTGGTATATATTTTTTAAAAGTACACATCATAATGAACATATGTAATTATTCTCAAGTTGATGGGATCACAAATTCATCGCTGACTTCCTTAAACTAAAACTTTAATCTACCTCAAACCAAATTTACTTGTTATTTTTCAATTGATAGATTTTCTTATAGAGGATGGACAGGTAAACAGACTGATGCACAGATCAGAAAACATAATATCTCAATACTATTGCATAACAGGGCATACAAAAGCTTTTATATCAACTTGGAAGTCAAAAAAATGTTGACAAAATTATTTCATTTGTTAGCCTCTATTTTAGTAGATTTTTCATATTACCTCCAGTAATCAATTTAACACTTACAGTATTTGGACCATCTTCTAGTTTGGCAAAGAACATATGTAGAGTGGCTGTTATCAAATAGGTTCCTGCAAATCTTTGTAATACTCCCGGCATACGAAATTTGGTTAGTTCAACGGCTGCAAAACATACATTTACATCAAATCCACAAATGTATATGTTGATTAATTATTTCTCACCAAAAATGTGTCATAAAATGAAAAGAGATATCAACAAGTACTGGTCTACACTACAATCTATTCTTCAAACATGACAAAACAATTTAATAATATTCTATAATTGCTTCATATCAAGTGAACATCTCAATAGACCTCTTTTGAGTTCATTGCATTTTTCATCAAAAACTTTGGTTTTAGAGAACATCATTCATGTGTTTAGAGGCATGGTCACTTCTTTACCATGTTGAGCGAGCAGTTGAAAAAATATGATGCTATATTGCACGAACTAATCGGCAAAATAAATTCTTATAATAGATAATCAACACTGCTGTCATTAAGGAATTGTGATTAAGTACCTACGGTATAAACATTATTTCTAGTTTATCCTGCATAATGACGATCCCGAAGATGTTTGATGAACTGTAATAGTGCAGGGATACAGGCGGTCCCCTCTATCTGGTAAATGACGTCATAAAGGCGCGCATAATTGACAAACTTTTCCGATGAAGGACATAACTCGAAAGTGGTCTTTTGCTTTAGTTCAAGGGGAAACAACCCTTCAAGGGTTAAAAAATGGGACGTTCATCTCATACCATGACAATAATTGTTATATTAAACAGCAACTACTGTAAAAGCAGAAATTTTCTTGGAGGATTTAATTTCGTTTATTTCGTGGAAAGAATATATCCACGAAATTAAAAACCCAACGAAAACTTAACCTACATATAATATTACTTCCATTTAATGGAAACCACGAAATTAAATCCCCATGAAATTTTATATAGAGACAAAACCATGAAATTTTAACCCCACGAAAATTAATGTTTCTACAGTATATTAAATATATGATATATGTGAGGTAGGTAAATTAAGTGCAGTTGTCCCAAGAAATAAATGTCCATATACTCCTACAGAAATATGAATTCCATTTTCAATAAACTGCTTCGCAGAGCACAGCTGAATACGCCCGCAGAGGTCCAACCCTGAAAAAGTTGGGGCAAAAATGGACACAATATTCAAGCTTGATACAGGTCTGAATTTGGATTGTTATTAAATATTTGACATACACTACAGCTCGGGTGGATTTTGCTTTGTCCACCGGCCCACCATGGGGGTGGGCACCAGGTGGGCAAAATTTGTACCTTGTCCACTCTGCCCACCTGTAGGAGTGGGCATTCAATTTCTTTCGTTTCATCTAAAGACTTGCAAGTACAATCACTTGAAAAAAGCAGATAAGCATTTGTAATCAATATTTTTACAAAAAAGAGATTATAGCTAGAGTGGGCACGGGTGGACTGCCCACGGTGGGCCGGTGGAAAAAGCAAAATCCACACGGGCTGTTGTGTATTATAGGTTTCTGAATAAATGTAGTCAAAAGAACTTGAAATTGGTTATATGAATTGAATTTATATTCAATTAAAGATTTCTTGCTGTTGTGCAATACACTGTCCTGTTGCACAATACTTAGTAAATGATGATCTGTTGTCAGACTATAAACAAAAAAAGTTCAATTTCTTTTCAATGTCATATTTGAAATTTATGAAAATCAATGGGGAGATTATATCAATAGCTATAAATAATTCGCCAAAGTTTCATGAAAACTGCTGAAAGCCATTTTGAGTTATTGTCCAAAAACTGGAAAATCCCCCCTTTTTTAATGAAAAAAAACCCATAACTCAGAAATGTAAAATCTAAAATTTATAAAATTCTAAAGGGAGCTTACATCAACAGATATAAACAATTCACCAAAGTTTCATGAGAACTGCTGAAAGCATTTTTTAGTTATTGTCCAAAAACTGGAAAATCCCCCTTTTTTTATGAATAAAACCCTGTAACTCGGAAACATTAAATCTAAAATTCATAAAAATCCAAAAGGGAGCTCATGTCAATAGATATAAACAATTCACCAAAATTTCTTTCAAGTTGGTGAAAGCATTCTTGAGTTATTGTCAGAAAACTGGAAAATCCCCCCTTTTTTAATGAATAAAACCCCAAAACTCGGAAACCGTAAATCTGAAATTTATAAAAAAACAAGAGGGAGCTCACGTCAATAGATATAAACAATTCACCAAAGTTTCATGCATATTGGTTAAAGCTTTTTTGATTTAATGTCCGGCATGTTGACGATGGACGAACGGACGGTCAACGGTATACTTTAATACGTCCCGTAAACGGGCGTATAAAAAGCAAGATGAGACAGGGAAGCAACTTTATTTTTAGTTTTGATTTAATATATGTTACTTAAGGCTTGTATTCTCCTTGGTAATCCATTTTACAGAGAATATAGTTTTCAACATACGAAACAAATGTTTGAAAACCACAAAGAAAAAATTTGTAAGGGTTCCACGGAACCCAGTGTCTCGCCTACTTTTTCTGTTAATCGCAGGCTCAACAAAAATGAGGAAGTAAATCAATAAAAATATTCCTCTTGATACTATCTTTTGATTGTAAGAAGCTTCTGTCCAAGTTTGGTAAAAATCCAGGATAGTTTATTAATCTAATAAATGTTTAAAAACTTTAACTGCAGACTGAATGTTATGTTAACTGGAAGAAAACAAAATTTCCTTCTAGATACTAGCATGTGATCATAAACAAGCTTCTGTCCAAGTTTGGTACAAATCCTAAATAGTATAAGAAAGTTATTAAAATTTTAAAAACTTATACCACAGAGTGAATGTGTTGTTTCCTGGCAGAAAATCTAAGTCCATTTAAAAGTAAAATACAGAAAAAACGGATTTATTTTTTTACAAAATTTCCTTCTAGATACTAGCTTTTGATCATAAACAAGCTTCTGTCCAAGTTGGTACAAATCCAAAATAGTATAAGAAAGTTATTAAAATTTTAAAAACTTTAACCACAGAGTGAATTTGTTGTTTCCTGGCAGAAAATCTAAGTCCATTTATAAGTAAAATACGGAAAAAATGGAATTTTATTTTTACAAAATTTACTTCTGAATACTATCTTATGATCATAAACAAGCTTCTGTCCAAGTTTGGTAGAAACCCAGGATAGTTTAAGAAAGTTATTAAAATTTTAAAAACTTTAACCACAGAGTGAATGTAATATTTCCCGGCAGAAAAACTAAGTCCATTTATAAGTAAGATACGGAAAAAATGGAATTTTATTTTTACAAAATTTACTTCTGGATACTATCTTATGATCATAAACAAGCTTCTGTCCAAGTTTGGTAGAAATCCAGGATAGTTTAAAAAAGTTATTAAAATTTCAAAAACTTTAACCACAGAGTGAATATTTGTGGACGCCGCCGCCGACGACGCCGACGGAATGTAGGATCGCTATGTCTCGCTTTTTCGACTAAAGTCGAAGGCTCGACAAAAATGGTATGCCTTATATATCCATACTAACCATTGCAGCCCTCAGAGTTGATAACTAATCCTAGCAGGAACAATATACAAGATCTCTTAAATATCTTAAAGAACATTTTATATTTAGGTGTGTTAGATCTCAGTAAGCTAGTGTAAGAATATGCCATCGATGTCCCCATTATGAATACAAACCTGGAAAAAAGTAGACATAATATATAATAACATGGCTTAAGACTGTCATTGTTCATATCATTTCTAGATTCAATTAATAAACAAAGCAACTGTCAATGATCACTACAAGACTGATGTAATTCAACAGTTTGTTTTCATACACTGAATTTATTTCGCTTAAAAATTGTTTAAAAATGAAATTCTTTTAATCTCATATTTTTTCCTTCTTCTAAATATATGCCAAATTGCTTGAAAATTTCAATTGATTTTATTGAAAAACAATTGCAGATAATTTCACTGTAGGAAGGTAAGTTTAAACAATTCAAAATTTGGAACACAATGAACACTACTATAACTAAAACTTAATTTTCATGATAAATTTGATCAATTATATTCAAGAATCACACTTATTAGACTTGCATTAGTGTCTCTTAACTCAGATTTAAAATAATATAAACAGTGTATTAAATTAAAAAAATTCTGCAGAAAGACTGCAGATATACTTTTTTGTCAGTAATAATTTTCATGGTTTTAGGAAAACTGATTCTACTATCTTGAATTTGTGGTTGTACAATGTTACTACAAACTATACACAAAGAACTTTGAAAATGTGTATTTTGTTGTGTAATTCAATTTTGATTTTACTAAAACTCATGAATTGCATAAAATTAATTAATATTCAATAAATAATATAGAATTTACAAGATACATGCATATAGAAAAGTTTCTAAATATATATATTCTGAGAGTTAAAGAGAATGGAAAGTCTTTTTAAAGATTATTAGCATACTAACAGAAGATTATATAGACATACCAAGGCATAACTAAATCTGCTACAGTTAAACCATTCCAGTCCGAATGATTAAAGAACCAATATCCCCCACCACCATAATTAACAAAACACATTATTGTTAAACTCAATCTAAAATAATAATGTTATTAATGTAAATTTTGTATTTAATTTATTGGGAAGGAAATTAAACCTGTCTCTAGAATCAGCTGGTGTTTACTTGGCCATTTTATTTAATGCAAAATGAATTGTCCGTTTGAATAAACATAATAACTATTGTATAAATTTTGCTGACGCAATTGGAAGTAGTACCTCTTTCCGAGTGAAGCCTTTTGGTACGGAATGTCCTGTGAGGTGTTGTCCATTTTGGAAAAGACACTGACAATTCTTTATTAACTTTTACTTTCACTTTCATTTTAACGTCGTCAAATCAATTATTGTGACGTTACGTCTTGTTAACCTTTGTAACCCCATATGCACCGCATTTTATGTACTTCAGTATTTGTTTTCTATGTTTAAATTGTCCTGAAGATGCCACCGTAAGTGGCGAAACATGTAGACCATAATAAAGATTTTCCTTGCTGTAATCTAAGATGTTGTTGTCTTTGTGTACCATTATTTTCCTGAGGTTTTAAGACAACCGCAGCATACCTCCCGGTATCCATCCTGATTACTCTCTACCAGCCTGTACCGTTAGAAGGTGTTGGTTCACTCGATGCAACCTATTGTATAAATTGTTCAATGGGACAGTTCACTTTGCAACAATTCAAATGGCCAGGTGAATAACAACTGATTCTGGGAAAAGGTTTTATTTCTTTCTCAATAAATATCAATCACAACTGAAATCAAAACACATAAAATGTAAACACTCAAAAGCAAAACTAATCAAACAAAGACATGCTCCATGCTTCAATTTGAATATAAGAATCATTAAGAATATTATGAGACAGTTTTTAGTCAAAGCATACATAAAGAAAGACAGGTGTTATTAACAAGAAGCAACAAAGCTGTGTTAGTATCAAACTACTGTATATAAATCATTCTGACATCCAGGTTTGTCTTACCATGGAAATACCAGATCTGCTACTGTCAGACCATTCCATTTGGAATGTTTAATGAACCAATATTTGCCTCCTCCATAATTACAAAATATCATGATCACTATGCTTATGCTAAAATGAATCATCAATTATTTATTTTTAAAAAATTATTTTTTTAAGTTACAATGCTTGGTTAACAAAACAGGTTTTTGTCATAAAATATCCATGACTAATTTAAAACGAACAGAAGGAAATGTGTTGTATATGTCAATGTTGTAAATGATATAATAAAATTTCATCTAATACATTAAGTAAGACACAAATTTTACCTTAGACTGAGTCTTTTCCCTAAATTTTAAGTCATGTGTTTATATATTAGGTAAAAAGTTTCCTGTTTGTGGCCATATTGGATATCTATAATCAGCAAAGTAATCATTTTCAGCTTTCATTGACTGATCAAAACAAAAATAAAAATCAAGTATTTGGTTTGTACCATGTGTTATCTCCAACACAGAAAACTTCACAATCACTCAAGCATGACTTGAAGTGAGCATAAACAATGTGCAAATGAAATGAATGTGTTATAACACAACTTTTAACAAACTTAAATGATCTATCATTAACAAGTTTTAATCAGAAAACTTTACATAAGGTGTTGATGACAACAGCAGAGAAGTAAAACTTTTGTCTCAATTCTACATAATCATTGCAGGAGGGGTCAACATGTACAAATATATGTAGTGATCAATATGCCTACCCTCTAAATGTATCAAGAGATTTGAGCCTCTCTTTCTTTGGCTTTTTATTTTCTGGTGTTCCGGTTGGGTTTATATTGGTCTGCATAGTACCAAGATCAGGTGATGAACCAAGGTCTTGTGATGCATAACTACTCTGTAATAGATCACAAAGTTGTTAGTTTTAAAAGTATTCCCTAGTGACGAGCACTCATTTTTTAACATTTTCCATTTATTAGATAGAATTGTGTAAGCATGATTCAACCATAAAGCTATGATTTAATAAATAGTACTTTTTCTAAATAAATACATGTACTGTCTTTATTAAAGTGCAGCAATTATTTTTATTTTATTTCAAGCTTGAAAGTATTTGAAGACCTTCTGAATTGACTCACATGCAAGTTGACTGAATGACCTACTAAATTTTTAATTCTTTTTTAAAATCAAAACGTACAGATAATTTCACAAGAATTAATGCTTTAAAGATGTTTTATTGAAATCAAATTTATTTAGATAAGAAAAAGAAATGTTTCCAATAGCTAATTATTCAATAATAAAAAGTGCAAAAAAAAGGCCTGGTAGGGATATATATGGACATAAGCCATGCAATATTTAATTACACATATCATAACTTGTATGAGGTCAGTAATGACTTTAGAATTCAATCAAAATCAAACTGTAATTATTTATACTGGTGAGACATACACAATACTAGCCTAACAGGACCATCACCTGGACAAGTCAAAATAAAATGTGTATAGGTCTTCCCTTATTTGATCACACTAACATCTAACATACAGCCTAAGAAAGAGTACTACTTATAATCCTTTTCGGTCAATTTTAATCTTTTATTGATAAGAAATTTTAATGAGCTAGACCCTCCAAAAACAGGTCTATACATAGTAATATGACAAATACAATACCAGATCAAATTTTAGATATTATGATATGTCTTCTCATAAATTATGCATAAGGATAGTCAAATCTTTCAAGAAAGTATATTGTAAACAGTTACAAAGCCAAGAACTTTGGTCGATGGTCATAATTAAACCTGTAAACAGTGACTGATACCCCAAAAAATCTTTTCAATGGTCAAATTTCAACCATCATGTTATGGTTGATGGAGGAAAGGTGACATAAAACTAAAAACTTCATCATTGTATATAGATGTATAAAACTTGAGAATTTTGAACCTTTATACAAAATGATATTCAAGTAAGCTCCAATTTACCTTCAAGTATTTAAACCAGAATAACATTGCTTACAGCAAATCTTCATAGGGGCAGTACTTTTTTTATAAAGTTTCATTGCTTTATACTTTGAGTGTTTGACAGCTTTGTCGGAGCTGCATGTAAATATAATTAGTTTTCTGGGTAAGAAAATAATATTCATGGGGAAAAAGCATCTCAATATCATGAATATAGGAACACAACAAATATATAAAAATTTAGACCATAAACCTTAGAGTTTACACATTTCATTTTCACTAATAAACAAAGATGCTTGTGACTCACCTGCCCTAAAGTGGCAGATGATTTTACATGTCGCTTTCTTAGACCAATCTTGTTTTCCTTCAAAGGGACTGTTTTAAGGCCATCAGTAACATCCGTTTTTGATTTTTTCTGTGAGGAAATGTTTAAAGTATGTTTTATATCTGTATATAATACTGTTTGCTTGTGGTAACTTGCCAATATTTACACTGAATCTTTTACTTATATATAGATGTTTTAGTATCAAAAGTAATTTCCTCAACTAAAAGTTAAACTTTGAAACACTTTTACCCAAAACACTTAGGTTGTTCCACTCCTCAACATTGGCAGCCATAAGCCATATTTGGCACAAAACTTTTTGAAATTCTTTGCAATGCTCTTCAGCTCCCTGTTTGATTTTGGCCTTCCAACTTTTTTTATTTGAGAGCCCTTAATGAGTCGTATGAAGATAAAATGCACGTCTGGCCAAACAAATTTTAAGCCGGGTATCTTGATGAGTCTAAATATTAAGAATGAAATATACGTCTCATTCTATTGAAATGACCTTCTGTATACATCGTAATGTTGGGATGCTGTCTCACTGATGTGCTCCCTATTTCTATATTCACATTCATAGATTCAAATTTATCATCCGAATATGGTAGATATATAATAAGGTGCTGATGCATCTTATTTAGCAGTGGGTGCAATATGACAGGCAACAATAAAACTTTTGCTTTGGAAAATATAGTAATATTAGTAAGCAGCATGCAAGGTCATTAAACTGATTCCAGCAAATGAAAACTATGAAACTGATGTATTAATATACAATGAACATAAAGTATATAAACAAAATCATAATCATTCAACATATGTCAAAAAAGCTATCTACCAAAATCTGAATATGTGCAAGGAGACCTGTTTTGCTGCTTGATAAAAAAGCTATGTATCCTTTATATATTTTATAATTTTCTAAAATTTTAAATGATGAAGATGAGATATCAAATCAGTCATTTCAGATTATACTGATGCTAAAATGCAAAAGAGACATTTCTCCCATTAGTTTTCATGCATAAGAAAATAAGAACCACATTGATCAATACATTGTACAAATCAGACAACAATACTGTTATACACTTACTGGATCAATAAGATGCTCATTACCAGACTGCATCAAAAGCTTACTGCACAAGTGACCTCTGAAATGGTAATACTTATCTACATATGTAATCTATTGGTGTTATACAATAAAAATTATTTCTTGCTAATGACAATTGACCAAAGTTACTTTGAAAACAAAGGTAAATCATTTTATAAGAAAGTTTCTTATGTTAAAAGTAAAGCTTTTTGAAGTGATATACCTGGTTATCCAGGGAATCAAGACACCATAACATGAATAAATTCTGTTCATCTATTATTACCCCAATTTTAGAATTAGAGAAATAAACATTTTAAAAAGGAGGCTTTGAATGTAATTAATTTCTTGTCAAGAAAAATGATAAAATAAATGCTGAATACAATTTTGCCAAAAATAAATTTTGATATGGAAGTTTACATACTAGTTCTTTCTTCAACACTTCTCCGTGGATTTCATTTTTCGTTTTAATGAGACAGTTACTTTTCTGTTTTGAATTGTTTCACATTTTAACATGTTTATTCTGGGGTATTTTATAGCTAACAATACAGTATGGACTTTGCTCATGGCTGAAGGACATATGGTAGACTAGAGTTATTTACATCTTATCTTTTGTTTTGGTGGAGAGTTGTTTCATTGGCAATCATACCACATCTCCTTATTTTCATATAAATTAGGAATAATAACTTATAACTTTACCTGTAAAATTTAATACCCAGCACAAACATGGCAGCTGCAAAGACGAATCCTCCTAACATAATGTATATAGCTGAAATTGAAAGTAATCCTTCATTCACTTCTTTTGAATGTGTATAATGAAATGCTAGTTATTATAAGTTTGATATACATGTATATATATATATATAATTCCAATGAAGAAGGCTGTAATGGCCAAAAGTATGGAAACTTGTGTTATAGTTTTTTTTATTATTTATAATTGATTTAACCCCAGATCTTTTCTCCTTGTAATCTAGATTTGTATTATACGCTATTAGTTCATTGGGCTGCTGTCTGATTGACATTTACCCCTCCTCTCCTTTTATTTACATTTAGTTCTGTCCTGAACAAGATGGGATGATAATAATAATATAACTACAGTAGTTTATATCAGTTGACATTCAAAACAATAATTTAAAAGTTATTTCTCTGCCAATTTTCCTTTAAAAAAATATACCTTAACAGTAGATTTATGGGTGTATACTTTTTTTAAAATTAATTTATATTTTTCTCTTATGGTTCATGGATTTTTTTTAATTGTAAGTCATGTATTTTGAATTGGTGTAATCTTCATTTTCAATATTTTGAAATATGAATTGTAAACATTTGTGAATTTGAATATGAAAAGTCTTTAATATTTCACAAATGGTTGAACTTTTTAATTGTTATAAAGCTTGTTCTTGCTTAAATATGGCTGTTATACTGCTTTTAATTAGTTTCTGCATAATATTCTTGTTAGATTGTTTTTGTGTTCATTACAAGCTTTTGCCCCGATGTATTTTTGCTTTCTTTTGTTTTACTTTGATTTGATTTGTAGTTGAAACTACTACATGTATAACAAAGTAACAATATATCAATAAATATATACTTTGCTACTTACGTATATTGCTGTCAGCTGGAGCATTCATTAAAATGGGTCCTTTACATTTAATCTTATCTTTCATTAATTCTACATATATATTGTACTCTCCATATTCTTTGAAATGTGTTGACAAATTAAATTCTCTAAAATGTAAATGCATACATATATATTTTCAATTCATAATATAGAAATCATTCATAAACTTCAAGCAGTGTAAAATAGAGCATTTCACAAAGTTTGGAAATAAATCCATTTTACAGGATTTTTCGATTCTGTGGATTCATTATTATTCGTGGGATACCAATTTTTGTGGAATAAGTGGGTATAGGTGAACCATGCATTCAAATATTTAATGAAGTGTACATTTTAAATAGGCTTGATTCCAGACTTTGGCAAACAATGAAATCAAATATCCATGAAAATACATTTGTTCTCAATCCAAAAAAATTGGTACCCATTAAAATAAATGAATCCACAGTATTTGTAGATATAAGCCTCTAGTTCTATTCCTATATAGTAAAGGCAGTCAAATTGGTTAGTTTACAGAATATCAGTCTAATAAACATTGTCTAAAAACTCTAAAAAAAGATAGTTACAAATGGTTGGGTTTCGTGTGGTGTGTTGGAAAAATGGAATAACAAAAATTCAAAAGAGGGAAAATTTGTGGATAAAAACACAGCCCGGAACACTAAGAAATGTATGTCTGGCTACAACTTTTGCAGAGGTTTTACAGGGAAAAAAATAAATATTAATTGTTGACAAAGAAAGATAAACATCAATTGTGGATCCCATGACACAGGGGAAGGGTTTGGGAGCCACTTCAAACTTCCTTTCAAATTTTGCATATATTTGTACTAAATTTAAGTGAGTGACGGCAATCGTGTCAAACTCCATCCTTGCTTAATCTGCCCTTATCATTGTAATTAAATATTTTTACTGTGTATATCTAAAGTAGATTATAAAAACTTATTCATGTAACTGTATCCAAGATACTATATTTACCCACCCACAGCTGTTTGTAGTCTTGTATGCAGGGTTGAGACCAGTTATTGCAACTTTCATTGACCATCGTGAGTCTAGTAGAATGGTACAACTAGAACTGTAGTTCACTACTATTGTAGGCTGTAGATCACACTGTAAATATATTTGAATAATAAGTTTTCTATGATGTTGCTTCATAAAAAAAACCATTTTGAATTACAAGTACTGTGACTATATTGATCTGTCAGTATGACTAATGGCTTGCTTGTATAAGATAATTAGTATGCTGCTTTGTACTCAGATATCAGAGGGTGTGGATGGGGTTTACAGAATAGAGAATAATGGTAAAAAAAAATAAAGAATAGATAAAAATGGACAAAAAAAAATGAAGAATAGAGAATAATATAAAGAATAACTGCAAAAATGAAAAAATTGAGTAAATATATACTGATTACAGAAAAGAACAATGTCCAGAATACAGTTATCAAGTAATTACAGAATAGCCATTATCTTTAAAGATAAAGAATAATGAGCGAAAAAATTAAAGAATACAGAAATTAAGGACCCCCCATCCATACCCTGATATCAAGCAGAGTCAGATTTTAAAATACTTACTCACAAGGTAACAGTCTATATGTGTAAGAAGACATGTCATTAAACCTATACATATTATTCTGACTCTCATTCAATCAGTCTTTGCTGTTACTCCTGAATGCAGAATACTTAGCAGTAAAGGAGCAAATACTTATTTTAAAGTTTCTGGTTTGATCTAGTCAGGTTTCAAACTTTTGACCTTCAAACTCAAAGTCAGCACCATACCCTGAGACAATTGAGGTATTACTTTATAATATTTAATTAATGTATATTGTAAAAGATAAGCTGCATTGTTTAAGTTAGTAATCATGGTAATCAGCAGTTATATTTTTTTCTAAATTCTATTTGTATTTTACATATTTCAACAAATCACTTATATGAATAAAAGAAAAAATGAGTACAAGATAATGAGATAGCAGCACAAGGAGAAAAAATCTATGTTTCATAGTTTGTAACTTTACCAAATCTAAATAAAACTTTCATATCATATAGACACCCCATATTATTGTATGTTGAGTACTGATCTCTAGGTATCTTCTAGGTTTTAAGGGATTGTTTGATAGCTTTCTAAGTGACATATACCTGTACCTCAATTTGTTCATACTGATATCAATTAGGTATAAAACCACTAATTCGGGCCTCGTTAGAAAGAACATACAAGAAAGTTGTACATCTTGTAAACAAAATAGTTCCTACGCATAGCTGTAACTTTGTCAATAAGTAAAATATTTGGGTAAATTTGGTATCAAATGAAAGCTTAAGGACTTGGGATCACTGAAGGGCCCGGCCCTTGTTGAAATTTTTTATGAATAATAAAAAAAAATATGAAATTATAATAGGAGGGCACATTTGCCCTGTTTTTCAGATCAGAAGTACCTGTTTTTGTACTATCAAACTTCCGGGAACCAGTATGCTCTAATATGCAATTAAAGGTATGTTGAATTTTTCAGCACATGTCAGGATAAGGTATAGTTTTGACATAAAATGACTGTCACTTTATTTGAACTTAAGACATGCAAGACAAAGTAGCCATTTAAAATGCTTGAAATTGCAGAATTTAATATAGGAAGCAATGGGGCTATGAATTAGTGGTTTGATTCCTATACCATAATACAAGACGATGAGGACATCAAGCATTGAACAGTTAAAGCATTTTCATAATCAGACAATGGTACATATGATGACTATTGATTTTCAATATATTGAAGTTTTCTAAGACAACTATCATTGAATGCTAAGCAAAGAGCAATGAATCATTTTAAGACAACTGCACAAATGCTTAGTATTTTCTTAAGGCCACTGAAGCTTCTTTAATAGACCAGGACATACTTCCTAATAAATATTAATAACTGAGGGATAACAGATTAAAACTTCTGTAAACATTTTAGCAGCATAACATTAAAACTCACAGTATAACATTCAGCTGTGATGGAAGAGACAAGTAGATCTAAAGATGAGACTCCAGGTTTTGTGGTGTTATTTATAATAGTCACTCTAGCATTATCCATCTTATTGTCTGGTTTACAGTTGGACTGCATTACTGATGAAACCAACAAAGGAAAAGCTGCAATAAAACAATAAAATACATCAATTTATATATGTATATAGTATCAGATTATATACATGTTGATATATCATAAAATGTTAGCTGTAATTTACAGTTTGAGGCTTTTTTGTGAGTAAGCACAAAAAAGGAGTTACCAAGACTAACACTGTGTTGAGCTAATTTGAGCAGCTGAAATGTTACAATAGGCTGTATGCTGAAAAACTGAAACATGTATTCACATGAATGTTTTTATTGATCTATAATATAGTTCTTTTAGTGTTTTTGATCTATCCATTATGACAGGGTTCAACAGTATCAATATGCATTAAGAATCTCTAATCATATTTTAGAAATTGAGAGCAGCAGATATAATAGTGAACAACATTTAAGTCAGAGTTTCTTAAGATATTTTTCTGAAATTGAATAAGAATTTCGTTTCATCTGTGAGTGAAAGCTTTATAAAGTTATCAGAAAAAAAGATTATGATAGCATATAAAATAGCATATTTTATGTAATTTTTAATAAATATGAATTATATGACTGTATCGAGTGTGATACAATATTTCTTCTCTAAAGACATTTAAATTTGTAGTCTTAAAATCTGAGGCTTTCCAAGCGTTTTAAACATAAAAAAATTAACTGTTGCCAGAGTGTGGAGAAGTATCGCATTACACAACAATTACGTACAGGTGTCAGACCACCAATTCACTCCCTCCAATTTAGAACGTATGTAAAAGTAGCCCTACTCTGACACAAAAAAGTGCTTTTGATGTCATTGTTTACTTAAAATAACCAACAAATTTGCAGAAATGAAATGTTTGATGAAAGAGAAATATATTTAGACCATTTTGAGCCAAAATTTACTTGTCTATGAGTTTGCATTAAAAATTGAGGATTAATGCGCTCCATAGTATACTAATTTAAGATTTTCCGGAAAACCAGGGGTTATTTTTACTAGTACTTGACTTCCGAAAGGCAGTTCTTTCTTAGAAGACTTTAAACATGGGTTGAAAATTTGCATGTAGAAAGGTGATACATGTACAATTCAGGATATACCTGGTTTCTATGAAGTTAAATTTAAGGTAAAATATTAAGAAAGCTGTGAAAATTGCAAAATTTGGTTGAATAGATAGGGATTTTAAATTGGTGGTCTGACACCTACACAAGACAGGAAGTGGAATATGTTTTTTTCTTGCACATGATTTTTAGATGATTTGCAGGCAAACATTATCGTTCTTTTTCAATGATCTGCAAGTAGATTGTGTTCCTCCTTTGTGACTTCATCAGCATGGTCAACTTTTTGGTGACATCACAGTAGCAAATCGGAGACAAGCAATAAAAATCAACATCCTTATTGAATTTTTATCAATAAGGAACTGAGATGAACTGAACCACACATTGATTTAATCAAACAAATAAACGGACTGTTGTGCGTTTGTTTTTACTACATTGGCTAGAGGTATAGGGGGAGGGTTGAGATCTCAAAAAACATGTTTAACCCCGACACATTTTTGCGCCTGTCCCAAGTCAGGAGCCTCTGGCCTTTGTTAGTCTTGTATCATTTTTAATTTTAGTTTCCTGTGTATAATTTGGAGTTTAGTATGACGTCCATTATCACTGAACTAGTATACATATTTGTTTAGGGGACAGCTGAAGGACGCCTATGGGTGCGGGAGTTTCTCGCTGCATTGAAGACCCATTGGTGGCCTTCGGCTGTTGTCTCCTCTATGGTCGGGTCGTTGTCTCTTTGACACATTCCCCATTTCCATTCTCAATTCTATTTCAGGAAAAGTATATATCATTATATATTGGCTAAGATCTAGAATTAGAGAAACCTAAATATTCAATGAATTTTCCTGGGACTGATGTTCTTAACAGATTTATTCTATACATACATGTAGATATGTTACAGTGAATTTGTATAATCAGGAATTATCAAGAAAACAAATATTCTTTGTTTGATAAAAATAAATCAAATACAGACAGATATGTATTACCCTTTTTATGGTTTAAGTGGATAGTTTTCATTCTCTGTCCATTTATAAAATCTTAGTTGAACAGTGTTTCTGGTGATATTCTATTTAACTGTGTTAAACCACATTAACTCATAAACAAATAAACTGCTTCGCCGAGCGCAGCTGGATACGACCGCAGAGGTCCAACCCTGAACAGTTGGGGCAAAAATGGACACAATATTCAAGCTATGATACAGGTCTGAATTTGGATTGTATTTAAATATTTGACACATTATAGGTTTCTGACACATAATAAATGTAGTCTAAGAACTTGAAATTGGTTATATGATTTGAATTTATATTCAATTGAAGATTTCTTGCTGTTGTGCAATACACTGTGCTGTTGCCCAATACTTAGTCAATCTGTTTTCAGACTATATACAAAGAATTTTTTTGGGGTGAAATTGATAATTTCTTTAATCTTGAGGAAAAAAAAAATTAACCCCCCCCCCAAAAAAAAAATTGACCCCCCACCAAAAAAAATTATATTTGAAGAAATTTTCTTTTTGTAAAATGTGGTACAATTTAAGAGACATCCATACACTTTAACACAAGTTATTGTCTGAAAACTAGAAAATTGCTTGTTTTGGCCCCTTTTTGGCCCCTAATTCCTAAACTGTTTGGGCATTTACCCCCAAAATGAATCCCAATCTTCTACTTGTGGTATTGAACCTTGTGGTACAATTTCAGAGCAATCAAAATACTTATACACAAGTTATTGTCCTGAAACTAGAAAAATGCTTGTTTTGGGCCCCTTTTTGGCCCCTAATTCCTAAACAGTTGGGACCATCACCCCCAAAAACAATCACAACCTTCCTTTTGTGGTATTGAACCTTTTGGTTAAATTTCATAGAGATCCATACACTTATACTAAAGTTATTGTCCAGAAACCAAATGTCTTCCGACGATGACCACGTGATAGCATTATACATGTTATACGAACACAAATTTTTTGTGATCGTATAAAAAGTATTTAAAATTGAAATTAATAATACCAACATTAATGCATGGATCATGTAATTTGCTGTATAAAACAAAGGGGATGAAAGTTATAAAACATCTGTTTTATAGTTCCAACAAACAACAAAAAGAAAGCAAAGAAATTCAACTAAACATACAGAAAAACAAACAGTATGCATGATTGATTACAGTGCATTTGGTCTAGAATTTGAATCCAGGCTGGTGCAGTTTTTATTTTGGAAGTAAAATTCTGCTTTCCAGTTAAATTAACAGCACCAATAAAAATCAAATTGCGATAGCGCTGGAAAAGTTACATAAACTGTTATCGCCTTTTTGTTATTTTAGTAGTATAATGCAAATACGGAATCCAAATGGCAATATTTTAACATGTAAACTATGCAAAACAGTAAAAGTCAATGAACCATGACTTAATGTGCAGGACCAAATAATCTCCATGGAAATGAGAAATGCCAATGCTTATAAAACTGCATACCAAATACCATTGGCTTATCATTCATTCATGACATTTGTCATAGTTGGTCTAAACAAAATTTTACTAAGATAAATTTGGACAAGAGTTCCTTATATTTAAAATGAACTTTAACAGTATTAATTTGATTAATAAACTAAAAGAAATGTTCCAGAATTTTACTTAAAAATAATCATATCAAGGATAAATTCAAAATCTGAATAAGAATCAGATCGACTATCATATAAACATGTTAGACAGCAACTTAAATATATATCAAATTAACATGATTAAATGGTAAATATCTTATTTTCAAAAATTGGATAAACAGTAAAATTTTATTTGTAAATGATATAATTGATGATAAAGGAAAAATTAATCAAAATATGATTTTAGATTAACATTTGTGTACTATCTTGCCATGCTAATTGGTTTTCAGAATATTCTAAATTGTTGAAAGCAATACCAAAACAGTGGTTACAAGAGCGTACAAAAGAAGAATCAATCAAAACAAAAGTTGCTATTAACTCAGAATTTAAATTTCAAGATAGAGTTCTAAGGAAAAATGGTATCAATTAAAAACATTTCCTCCAAAGACATTTACATTTCCCTTTTAAATAGATATTATGAGAAGGCAATAGGATTTCAATCAAAGCATCGTCGATGTTGTGATCCAGCCATATTCATAGCTAGTCTGATATTCTTTCTGACTACTGTTTTCAAAATTTTTTTTCTCTTTTTATTTCCAATCTTACTGTAAAATTTCTATGTTAATGTCCAAAGGTAGGGAATTTTGCAATATTGATGCAAATATTGATATATATATATATATTAATATTTCAATTTTAGACTCTGTCAGATTTTTTTTTTATAAATATTTGCAATTTAATGGTATTGACAAGAATGGAAAGGGAAATCGTCAAACAAGTAATATATTTGTTTATATGCCATTAATTATAACTGGCTTAATAATTTACAGAAAGAGGCCTTGGAAATGCACTTTCTCAACAACAAAAATAAAAAAAAATAGTAACTATTTTTTATCTGAATTGGTGTTCATCTTCATTAAGAAAAAATACATTTCCTGTATTCAAATTTAAATGTACAATAATAAAATATTGAATCTTGAATCTACAATTACCTAATGCTGAGATATTTCCATTTACTGTTAAATAGCAATATAATGGGATATAAATGTAGAACAAACAAATAAATTTTATTGCAGAAAATGCTCAGGTAAGAGTTATGCAATTTTGTTTATTGTTTCAACCAAATTTCTGATAATTGTAACTAATTAATCAGAACTTGATTATTGACTTGTGTCAGATGATAATGACACTGATTTTACAAGTGAAATAAAATTTGCTTGCTTTTTTTATACATATTTTTTTCATTTTTTGTCTTTTCTTTGAAAAAAAAACACATCTGATTAATCATTCAGCTAGCTAGCAAAATTAACAGAATATTTTAATGTAGTGTAGATCAAAATAAATAATACATTTGTAGGTTTACTATTGAGGTCAAGAATGTGTGTATTCAGTTAGGTGTGTAATAAATAGTGTCTATTTAATTATGTAACAGGTCATGAGATATTAACTGTGGTGAATTAAGACTGGGGTTTTAATTGTTTCCAATTAATATTTACACCTTTGAGTGTAATTATTTGAAAATCATGACAGTTGATAATCATACTGACTCTTACTTGCCTATGGAAAGAATTGGAGTAATACCATTTCAAAAAAGTGTGGGAATCAACTTAGATATATCAGAGACATATATACACATGTGTATATATGTCTCTGGATATATTAATACACTTGTTGACCCAAATTTCATTGAACAATAACTTACACAACCATAAGATACTAATATAATACTTTCAAAATTCTTATCAACTGATTCAATTGATGTACAAATACTTTTTCAAATTAATTCATAAATAGTAAATCATTATAAATTTTGATTTACATAGGAACTATATGCAAGTGTATATCTAAAATAAACGGGTTGTTCGACCAATCTTTTCTTAATTTAAGGGCAAATAACATGTCAAAAGTTGACAGTTGATGATTAAAATGGTGTTGAAAGTTTCTGCAAGTCATAAAAACACATAATTAGTTTCATGATATGTCTTCAACTTAGTATTCTGCACCATCTCCAAAACCAGAGTGATCGCATGGATCCAGCATGGCTAAATCAAAAATGGGACAAAATGCTTAATTTATATAACAAATACAAGGAAAAGAGAACAAATGTTGTAATTTATCATGTTTATCTTTAACTATATCTAAGAATAATAAATTGAAAATGTTAAGATGGAAATTTCTATATTACATTTTCAGTTCTGCCAACTTTTAAAAATGCAAATGCGTGAGATTTGGCCAAAATTGTAAAGATCACAGAGAAAAAACAATAGATCAAAGGAAAATGCCCCCAAATAAGCATGAAAATGCGTGAGTCTCACACTAAATGCGTGAGACTTGGCAGCCCTGCATTTTAGTTTTTTACCAATCAAACAATTACTTTTCTCTTAGAAAATAACTAAAACTCCTTTATGTAATATATGCAATTTCATTCTAGATTATGAACATTACTTTTTGACATGCAATATCTGAAACTATTTTGGAATCAAATAAAACTAATACTCGATAAACTTAAAATAGGACATCATATAATATCACTTGCATCACTTTTGAATGGATCCAAGATAAAGGATACAAAATATTACAGTATTAACGATTTTCTAACAGTTATACTTTTTACTGTATATATTTATATTATATATCTGAGCAGAAAACAATAAAAATATTGTGTCTGAATTTTTTAAAAAGGAACTTCTCCAACATTACGAAATATTGACAAATAAAGAAGGCAAATGTGAAAACTTCCACAATATGGTTGCAGAAAAAATTAATTTATCTGCAACCAAATTTCACATTTGCCTTCTTTATATAAGCTAAATTTCATCCAAATATAATATGCACATCTACATGTTATGCATAACAACTGTGAAAAGTTTCATTGGCCTCCTACCTACATGGCCTATGTACTTTTGGAGATTCTGCGTTTACAAAAATTGTAGACAAACAGAGGGATGGACGAACGGACAGATTGACAGACAGATCATGCAGATGGACAAAATGAAAACTATATGGCTCCCCATCTGAAAATCAAAAGAAACATGGAATCGTAAATCAAGATTTCATTCACTACTCATAATCATATAGAAATTTCCAGTATTTATTTATTGTCTCAGGCTCAAGTAGATTGTTCAATTCCTGAGGAATTCCACACTTGTGTCACCAAATTCATTTCAATTTCAATATGTTGCATTAAAAAATAAGCAATCCTTATTCATATGTGATCAGTACACCCTTTTATAGCCACAGAAATGAAGGGGAAAATTCATTAATTTTGTGAATCTCTGATTAATTTGAAGTTGTCTGCTATTGTTTAAAATACTATAATTTGTGTTAATAAAATTAGCTCCACCAGTTTCTTTGGAGCCCAAAGGTTATCTATTCTTTGAATAATTATGTCCGCCATATATTATACAAGGATTAGTTTGACTTTCATTCAAGACACACAAATCAAATTCATGAAGTTAAATTGTATACTTTATTGAGAAAAAATGACATATATCTCAGAGTTTTCAGTCTTTATTATCAATAAAAGCAGTATTGCACCGTATAGAATCGAGTTTACAGATAATAATTATCGGTTTCCCTGTTCTTATTGAGTTTTGGGGAAATCATTGTACCCCTTTAGCTCAGTTGGTAGCGGTGGTCATGGCTTACTGTGCAAGAGGTCTAGGGTTTGAATTCCGACTGGTACAGTTGTAATTTTGAAAGTAAAATCATGCTCTCCGGTAACAGCTAGTGTCATGACCACTAATTATAAAATAATCTATAAGCAGTTTTTTTTCTGGTACATTAAGAGTTGTATTTTTGTAATTTTTTTAAGTAAACTCCTGCTTTTCGGTTACAGTAAGTTATGTCATGACCACTCATGATAAAATTCATAATTTAAAAGCAGTTTGTGGTATGTGCAAAAAACGTAAATACTGGTGGAGTTTTACATACAAAGTATAACATAAATTGAAAGGATCCTTCCAGTGAGATTTTTAAAGCTGCAAGCTGCCATTTTTCTTCTTATCACATGACACGTTATTTATCACGTGGAAAAACATTATTTATGTTTTGAAGAAAAGAAACAGACAGAATATAGTCAGTGCGCATATTTATTTTGACTTTAAAGTCTTTGAATTTTTGAAAATGTATTTCAATTATTACTAAATGATCCTAAATGATAAGGGGGCGTGTCTGAATTTTTAAACAGGAAGTAAACAAACTGCGACCACGTGAATCACGATTTTATCACAGTTTGCAGCGACCAACTGAACATTGACAATGGCTATCCCTGAAAGATGTATTGAAAATTATAAATACATATTCCAGAAAGATTTATTAAGGTAAGAAGGATCAATTCACATTAGAAAATACCATTGACAATTCTTTAGCATTTATAAACGAAGCATTTTTAGCTCGTTCCAAATATTGACCTTTAGTTTACCCAGTACTTGTAAAAAAATGAACGACTGGTCAATTTGACATTCTGACAGTGCTTCATGGTAAAATTAAGCTGTAATTTGCATTTCAGGAAAAGAAATATTATCAAAAATAAGACATTCAGCAATGACGAAAAATTAAAAATTATACTTAATGTAATCAGGAACACATATATATTGTTAGATATACTGTTCCCAGATGTAATAACCTTGGATCTATATTAATGAGGACGAATTAGGGATAAAATGTGGTTTAAGGCCTTATACTAAAAATGCATAAGAATTCCGATGTGACAGGGATGCTTCCCTTCAGTCGTAATCGGTCAATCTAGGGAAGTAGTTCTTAAGCTCAGTAAGATAGAGTGCTGAATTGAAACAAAGAACTCCTGGTTTGGGGTCCTGGAGGTGGCAATGTGATTTAGGGAGACAAATCATGCTCTTAACTGTTATATTTGGCACTCAACTGAATACCCACTGTTGTTAGAGGTGATATTCAGCCAGGATTTGTGTTGAAAAGAGTCATCATTTCATGACAAATCTTGATGTGGGGGAAGTGTGGCAGGATTACTTCCCTTCTGTAGGTCCTCAGATACTAAGCCAGCCGTAATTGGTTGAGCTAGGGAAGTAATTCTTTAGCTCAGCCAGATAAAGCGCTACTTGAAACAAAGACATAACAGAGGTCCCAAGTTTAAATCTTGGACATGTTGGAGGTGACAATGTGATTTTGGAAGACAAATCACACTCTACTGTTACACAGAGAAATATGATTAAGGAGATGTTATTCTACATTTTTGTTGTGTGTACACTGGTCTTTTTATTTTGATTTTATCATGCACATTCACTGTGGTTCTCAGAATGCTCAGTTGCTTACAGTACAAATGTATATATATATGATGCATGATCATGATGATTTTTTATTATTAATTGTTTTGGCTTTTAACTAGCTGTCAGTAACTGCGAGTACTCTCAAATCGTACTTTCTTGTTTATTTGACCTGTTGATACTAATTGTATTGCTTTTTTGTTATTTAATGTTATTCAGGGTTATATCTGGTCTATATACCAGCTTTGATAAGTGTTTGGTATAACTATAAATTTTCACTTCGTGCTATGAACATCAAAATTATTTATTTTGTAAAAATATTTCCTTTCTCTATTGGTACTGTACACGTATACTTAACAACAAAATTATTTTCATTTACCTGTGTTTAAAGTTATTGCAAATTATGGAGGGTATTTTTGTTCGAGCATATTGTTTTTCTTTTATTGTTTAACATTTTTTACCGATATAACATGTTACTTTTATTATTCTTCCCTTAGTTTATTTATTTTGTATTTACATTGTGTCATAGGTCAAATTTATTTGTTCAGTGTATGTTCAATGGTGTTAATATGTCCTTTGATTGAGTTAAGCTATTTCAGTTGATATTTTATAGTGTGTCTTTCTATGTTGTGATGTTACACTATTGTTTCAGTAAAAGGGTGAAGGTTTGGTACCATTAAAACGTTTAAACCCGCTGCATTTGTTTGCACCTGTCCTAAGTCAGGAATCTGATGTTCAGTAGTTGTCGTTTGTTGATGTGGTTCATAAGTGTTTCTCGTTTCTTGTTTTTTATATAGATTAGACCGTTGGTTTTCCCGTTTGAATGGTTTTACACTATTAATTTTTTGTGGCCCTTTATAGCTTACTGTTCGGTGTGAGCCAAGGCTCCGTGTTGAAGACCGTACTGTGACCTATAATGGTTTACTTTTATAAATTTTGACTTGGATGGAGAGTTGTCTCATTGGCACTCATACCACATCTTCTTATATCTATGGTTGCTTATATGGTTGCTTATCAGTACTAGCGATAAATATGAAGAGAAAAAAAAGGTGTGGATATGTAAGCATACTTTTATTCTTGATTGTATAAATCTTCAGGTACGTGAAATTCACTAGAGTATCACTTCTTCACACCAGTGTAGTGGAAATGAAACCCAAGGGAGAATACATCAGAACATTTTTTGTCCATTCTTCAAAATTCGCAACAATAAATGCACACAATAATTTCTGAATTTACAGTATTCATTCATTAAGACCAAGATTTTAATTAACAATAGGTGAGAAATGAGCAAAACCCATACATTATATTACACTATAATGAATAATTGTTTAATTGAAATATTTGTAACAACTTTAAATTTCTTGCATTTTCAAAGGCAGTGGCTGTTCAGCCTTACCCAATCAAAAAGCTTTATACTATTTGACTAGATATGTTTTCTAAATAGCCTTCAAGATTCATGTTACTTTAAGTTTTATTCTATAAAATTTGAAATGTTGTAAGAACATGTGTCTTATCCCCTTTGTTATACTTAATAATAAGAAATGGATGATGTGAACTAAGGAGAATACATATACATGTATCGCTTTTTTTGTATGTTTGGGAATTAAAGTTAAGCATTTTGACTTTTACTATTTTTAATTAAACATTTTGATGTTAAAGTAATGAAAAAAAGATCACAACTTAACAAATAATGTCAAGTTTAGTACAGTAATTTAAAAGATCCTTTTATTATGGTGTATGCAAAGTGATCAATGTCATTTGTGGAACTTTTCTCTTATTTATGGATTATACACTTCATTCAGTCATTCCATATTTTGACCTTGGTAATATTTTTTTTTGAAGGTAGATAATTTATTCACCTACATGTATTTACAGATAACTCATCTTAAGGTGAAAATGTGGAATGTATAGTCATTTTAGAGTGAACTTGACAAAAGTAAATACATGTGTAACAATATAAAATATTACTATTTTTATGATATCAAAAAATTGGAAGATCACATTGTTGCTCGTAACACATTTTGTGTATCTGTCAAGCTCTGGATGATAATTTTAATTAACTGACTGCTTTGGAGTATGACTTATAATTTTCGAACTTAACTTCTAACTACAAAATGCATGTTAATTTCAATTATCACAGTCATTGACAGTTGGCACAATAATGGTTCCAGACTTCCATGTATGCCCTAGAAATATCTCAAAATGATAGAAATATAGTTTTCAGATGATAAGTTTTCTTTTGAAAAGGACCTTATGTCTTTGAAACATATTTTTCTCTATGTAGTAAGAAATTGTAACTTAAAATTACAGCATTATACTACCTTCTATTGAAATGTGGATTGATATAGACTGCACTGTTGCACTTATACAACCATCTCTATAGAGTTTTGCCGTTGATTTATCTCTTAATGGTAAAAAAAGTTCTGGACGATAACTAAAGTGTGTTTGTGATTAGGATCTTATAACTTTTAAATAGTACTACATGGCATGAATGACAGGTCACATTGTATTTTCATGCCTGCTGTACAATTACAAATTGACAGTTCCAGAGATATGTCCCTTGAATTGTGTAAAAAAGATTGTGAAAAGAAAACTGCAATGATATACATGTACCACTTTACAGTATTATTTATGAAAGGCTTCCCAAACTCCGAACACCAAGTTTTTTCTTGGTGTGACACCAGGAAACTCCGACATCCCTCCCTAAATTCTCGGAGAAATTTGGCAGTATTCCCTCCGACTTCCGCGTAAATTCGCTACCTTTTGTTTATTGTATTAGCGACATCTCTCCCAGTCCGGTGTGACGCGGTGTCACACCAGGTAATTAATTGCCCTAATCCTTCTGATCTATACCGGCACGCGACAGTCAAGGTATGAGAGATTACTTATGTAATTAAACAATTGTATTTCCTGTCTATTGATAATCAGGTTATATTTCTGATTGCTTGAAACAAATAAAAGATTTAAAAGCAAAACGTTGTTGTTAATTCTTTCAATTACACTGTACATTTAAAAATAGTTTTATTAAAAAAAAACTATATTTGATTTTTACCTCGTTTTTTTTTCTGGTCAGTAAATTAATATTTAATTTACAAAAGAGATATACTTGTGTAAAAATAAACGGAGACTTACGCTGAATAAATGTGGGCAGTTTAAAGGAAAATTACATGTCTCAAAGTTTTGTATACAAGCAGAGACATATAATACAACTTAAATTATTTAATTAATTATGATAAATTTAACACTGAAACTGTTTATGTTAAGCTAAAACCTTCTTCCTTACTTCGAGTACTTTTAATACTTTTATTAATGACTTTATTACCTAAGGAGATCTCGCGAGGTTTAACTAGTGGCCGCGTGTTATTACGGGATTTCGCCGAGTTGCCAATCTCTTGTATTATATGTCTCTGGTTATGCTAATAAGTCCACGCCATTTTCATTTTACGATTACATAATTGCTTGAAACAAATTAAAGATTTAAAAAAGCAGAATGTTGTTGTTAATTCTTTCAATTGCATTAAAGTTTTATAACAAAAACTATACTTGATTTTGACCTTGTTTAAGTTCATCGGTAAATTATTTTATTTACGAAAAGAGACATACTTGAGTAAAAATAAACGGAAACTAACGCTGAATATAAAAGTGAGCAGTTTAAAGAAAACTACGCGTCTCAAAATTTGTATATGCAAGTAAAAAAGAAAATACTATTCACCATTCGTTATGCTTAATAAGTCTACGGCATTTTCTCTTTACGATTTGTTGGCATTACTTTAGGGTATATGTTACATTTCGGCTACAACAGGAATACTTCTATAGCTGCATCAACTCGTCGTTGCATAATATTCATTTACGCACAATGAATGTAAACTTGTGTGTTGTATAAAGGACAGTGATTTTTAAATTTTTTTTAACCCTTTAACTTTCTTTTTTTTTTTATTTTACAGAGGGAAGGTTGCATTTGTCACTGGTGGAGCTTCAGGAATATGTTTTACCATTGCTGAGGTTCTTATGAGGTAATTATTTACCATGGTATGTATATACATTGTACTACACATATATCACTTCTATCTGAGTATGTCAAGTCAATTCCATATATACATGTACATCTGGTAAGTAATAATTATATTTGTTTATATAGTCTCCTCCATCATCATTCATGTATTTATGATACATTAATTGTTTTCAGGGAACAGATTTTAGTGAAATAACTGTTCTATTGCAAGATTTTAAGTATCTAAGGTACAATTTTGGGTCAAATTGAGCTTATATTGATTGAAAGCTTATAAGTATTAAAAAAAAAAAAACTGTAACTTGCTAATTTAAGTTTTATATGTTCATTGTATGTAATTCATTGAAATATATATATAAATATTTGTTTATAACAGCTATATTTACAGTAAATGCTTCAGCTTTAAAATGACAGTATAAACATGTACAGAAAGTGCAATAAGTTAAATATTCTTCTTTTAGCAAACCAGTGATGAGAAATATCTTAAATCACAACCCTTTATCTAAAATATATTCACACAGAGGGATTGCTTGAATTGTATTTTTGACAACTCTTATAATTTTCAGACATGGTTGTGATACTGTCATAGTAAGTAGACGTCAAGACAAACTGAAGCAGTCAGCTGATTTATTGACGAAAGCCACAGGGAGGAGATGTGTTCCGATACAGATGGATGTTAGAAAGGTGTGTTTTGTATAAGCAATAATAAGAGAGTAACAATATAAGCATACAGTCATGACAATTTCACTGTAATAGGTTTGTCTAGGCCCTTGGATTGCAAGAATTAACTTGGATTGTGACTTTTGCTAGAATCAAGCAAGTATACAGGAGACTCCACTTGATTTGATACTGGCTAAATGAATATATCGGCTATTGTAATATTATTTCAAAATACCAAACCCTTTCCTATATGTCCAATGTAAATTTTATCGTGTAAACGAATAAAGGACATAAGAATATATCTGAAAATCGGATAGGAGTATTCATGAAAATTCTGTTAAAACAATGCATAATCGGATTCTTTCAATGTTTTTCTGAAAGGAAATGAAGGCGTAAGTTATGCAATTACAATTTGCAGACAAGAAAATTATGTTTTGGGACTATTTCTTAATAAAATTGTTGTCTTTATATTCATTGTCTTCCATTGTTATGTGAATTAGATGCCATAGTCTACTGTATCAGTATATCATCTCAATAATTATGTTGATTAATAATCATTTGTAACAACAATAAAACTTATATAATTAGATTAGATAAAGAGATTTGTATGATGCACTTTCATTGGCTGTTATGCAATTATTAAAGCAAATTTTATGTATTTAGGGGGGAAAATATTAAGAGGGAAATCAAATTTCATAAAAGTCATGAAATAGATCTTTAAGCCATAGTGAACTCATTTGGTTTTTTTTCTAAATATAAAGGAATGAGAGAGCAATATTTTCATTTTCATTTTTATATATTTGATTTTCACCATAGGTAAAATTCACCTTCTAGAATTTGTTTTTGCAAAATGTTGTTTTATTTAAGTACTATTTGGTTTTTGTGTAATATTTATATTACGTATACAGCTAAACTGAATTAAACTTTATACATGATCTGAATCCAATCCAATCAGAGAGCAAGTGGCCATATGTCTAGATAATTGGTCAATAGCTTCTAAGCAGATTACTAAAATGTATCCTCTTTACAGTTAGCTTTCAACCCACTGCTGTAGATTATGATTAGATATTTGTGAAATAGGCTATGATTACTCAGTTGCATTTATAAAAAGGATGATGGCAGTACACTTGCACACATACAATGTATATTTGCTAAATTGATTTATACTTTTGTATGTTGCTTTCAGCCAGAACAGATTATTAAGGCTGTGGATGATGCTTTAGCACAGATGGGAAGAATTGATATTTTGATTAATGGTTAGTACATTAATTTCTATCATAAGTCATTTTATCGACAGGTTATATAATGGTATATGTGTATTAACATTATACATGTATATCCAACCAATCAACACAGGGGCGTTTCTAGGATATTTGAAAGAGAGGGCGTATAATCAAATCTTTCCCCGAGCGGAGCTAGGCGAAAACATTTTTTGGACCTTTTTTTTTCTAAAAAACATAAAATAACTGTGAAATGCACTAATTGCCATATTCAATACAATATTAGCAGATTACAATAGTTTTTTTTTTTTTTTTTTTTTAAAGGGGGGGGGGGGGGGGCGTACGCCCATTACACCCTCACCTGGACCCGCCCCTGCAACATTTAAAGAACAAAGCAGAAAACACACACGTGAGTAATAATATTTTACTCTGCAATGGCATATCATAGTCTGGACAAAATGTTAAAAGGACATTTTGTTGGTTCATTTTTATACGACCGCAAAAAAATTTTGTGGTCGTATATTGGTATGACGTTGGCGTCGTTGTCGTCGTCGTCGTCCGACGTCGTCGTCCGAAGACACATTGGTTTTCGCACTCTAACTTTAGTTTAAGTGAATGGATCTTTTTGAAATTTGACCATAAGGTTAAATACCACAAAAGGAAGGTTGGGATTGATTTTGGGGGTTATGGTACCAACAGTTAAGGAATTAGGGGCCAAAAAGGGGCCAAAAATAAGCATTTTCTAGTTTCCAGACAATAACTGTGGAACGGTGTATGGATCTGTCTGAAATTATACTACAAGTTTCCATACCACAAAGGGATGGTTAGGATTTGCTTTGGGGGGTTATGGCTCAAACCGTTTAGGAATTAGGGGCAAAAAAGGGGGAAAAACAAGGTTGTCCTGGTTAATGGACAAATACTTTAGTACAAAACATAATTTAAAGCAGTGTAAGGGAGATAAATCAAATACATCATTGAAATTATCTCCCTTACACTGCTTTTAAATTATGTATAAAGTAATGGTTAATGAACAATAAAGATAATTTAAAACAGTGTAAGGGAGGTAATCCAAATACAACGTTTTGGTTACTTCCCTTACACTGCTTTTAAATTATGTTTAAAGAAATACATATTTATAAAGGAAGACCAGTAAAAATATCTGCAAATGTTGCATCTTTTTTTTTTACAAAAAAATCCATATGAAAGATTTGACACTATATTTTTAATTCTATTATAAAATAGATTAAGTTAGCCATATGGTAAATTTAAATGGGTAATTATAGTTGCCAACTCCATTGGAAATTTGAATTGAGATTATGACCATATCTTGAGGGAAAGAATTTTTTTGGGGAAAAAAGGGGGGGGAGATAAAAAGAAATTGTGGGGGGTCAATTTTTTCTCATTTCAGATTTCAGAAATTAAAAAGAATTATTCTTCAAATATTATTTTTTTTTCAAATTTCAAATATTGAAAAATTTCAAGAAGTAATCTTTAATTGCACAGTATGGCGCATTAGATTTGTAAAATCTTTGATCACATTTATTTATTTGTTATGCCGAATCTAACAGTGTATTTAGATTTTTAATTTTGGGTCCAGTTTTCAAATTGGTCTACATTAAGGTCCAAAGGGTCCAAAATTAAACTTTGTTTGATTTTAGCAAAAATTGAATACATGAGGTTCTTTGATATGCTGAATCTAAACATGTATTTAGATTTTTGATTTTTGGCCCAGTTTTCAAGTTGGTTCAAATTGGGGTCCAAAATTAAACTTTGTTTGATTTCAACAAAAATTGAATATATGGGGTTCTTTGATATGCTTAATCTAACCATGTATTTAGATTTTTTATTTGTGGACCCCGTTATCAAATTAGTTCATATTGAGGTCAAAAGGGTCCAAAATTAAACTTTGTTTGATTTCATCTAAAATTGAATTATTGGGGTTCTTTGATATTCCAAATCTAACCGTCTATTTAGATTTTTAATTTTGGGTCCTGTTTTTTAAATTGGTCTACATTAAGGGTCCAAAATTAAACTTAGTTTTATTTTAACAAAAATTGAATTCTTGGGGTTCTTTGATATGCTGAATCGAAACATGTGTTTAGATTTTTGATTATGGGCCCAGTTTTCAAGTTGGTCCAAGATAGGGTCCAGTATTTAAACTTTGTTTGATTTCAACAAAAATTGAATATATGGGGTTCTTTGATATGCTGAATCTAAACATGTATTTAGATTTTTGATTATGGGCCCAGTTTTCAAGTTGGTCCAAATTGGGGTCCAAAATTAAACTTTGTTTGATTTCAACAAAAATTGAATATATGAGGTTCTTTGATATGCTGAATCTAACCATGTATTTAGATTTTTTTATTTGTGGGCCCCGCTATCAAATTGGTTCATATTGAGGTCAAAAGGGTCTAAAATTAAACTTTGTTTGATTTCATCAAAAATTTAATTATTGGGGTTCTTTGATATGCATAATCTAACCGTGTTTTTAGATTTTTAATTTGGGTCCCATTTTTTAAAATTGGTCTTCATTGAGGTCCAAAGGGTCCAAAATTAAACTTAGTTTGATTTTAACAAAAATTGAATTCTTGGGGTTCTTTGATATGCTAAATCTAAACATGTGTTTAGATATTTGATTATGGGCCCAGTTTTCAAGTTGGTCCAAGATAGGGTCCAGTATTTAAACTTTGTTTGATTTCAACAAAAATTGAATATATGGGGTTCTTTGATATGCTGAATCTAAACATGTATTTAGATTTTTGATTATGGGCCCAGTTTTCAAGTTGGTCCAAATTGGGGTCCAAAATTAAACTTTGTTTGATTTCAACAAAAATTGAATATATGAGGTTCTTTGATATGCTGAATCTAACCATGTATTTAGATTTTTTATTTGTGGGCCCCGCTATCAAATTGGTTCATATTGAGGTCAAAAGGGTCTAAAATTAAACTTTGTTTGATTTCATCAAAAATTGAATTATTGGGGTTCTTTGATATGCCAAATCTAACCGTGTTTTTAGATTTTTAATTTGGGTCCCATTTTTTAAAATTGGTCTTCATTGAGGTCAAAAGGGTCCAAAATTAAACTTAGTTTGATTTTAACAAAAATTGAATTCTTAGGGTTCTTTGATATGCTAAATCTAAACATGTGTTTAGATTTTTGATTATGGGCCCAGTTTTCAAGTTGGTCCAAGTTGGGGTCCAAAATTAAACTTTTTTTTATTTCAACAAAAATTGAATATATGGGGTTCTTTGATATGCTGAATCTAACCATGAATTTAGATTTTTTATTTGTGGGCCCGCTATCAAATTGGTTCATATTGAGGTCAAAAGGGTCCAAAATTAAACTTTGTTTGATTTCATCAAAAATTGAATTATTGGGGTTCTTTGATATTCCAAATCTAACCGTGTATTTAGATTTTTAATTTTAAGTCCCGTTTTTTAAATTGGTCTACATTAAGGTCCAAAGGGTCCAAAATTAAACTTAGTTTGATTTTAGCAAAAATTGAATTATTGGGGTTCTTTGATATGCTGAATCTAAACATGTGTTTAGATATTTGATTATGGGCCCAGTTTTCAAGTTTGTCCAAGTTGGGGTCCAAAATTAAACTTTGTTTGATTTCAACAAAAATTAAAAAATATGGGGTTCTTTGATATGCTGAATCTAACCATGTATTTTGATTTTGGACATTGGACCATAATAGATAAATTAAAAAAATTCAAGTTCTTAGACCACATTCTTTCTGTGTCAGAAACCTATGCTGTGTCAAATATTTAATAACAATCCAAATTCAGAGCTGTATCAAGCTTGAATGTTGTGTCCATACTTGCCCCAACTGTTCAGGGTTCGACCTCTGCGGTCGTATCAAGCTGCGCCCCAGCGAAGCATTTTATTCAACTGTTGTGCTTATACATTATGTTGAAGATTTAAGTGCCAGCGTTTGTATTAAGGAATCAGCCAATTAAGATGCATTTCAAAACATGGTTAAAAAACAGCCAACCTAACCATCCTATTTTGAAATTACTCTCTTTCTGAGTTAGAAGTGGTAGGTCTTTCGTTTCTGCATGTCTGGTAATTTGAGAAATCTCTAGGTAATTTTTGGTTAGATTGATAGCAAATTACAGAGTTAGCTTCCCTTAATTGGTAATTTCTAGTGCATTTCAACCAAATTATATCTTGAAATACCAGAACAGGAGAAGGAAAGAAATGTTGACAAGCTTTACTAATTTTAAGGATGTTCGCTCCTCTTTTTATTGAATTTTTGCCAGATATTCGGAATCCTGTGGTTTTATTCATGTAGTGCAATTGAAAATTTTGTCCTCTAACTCCTACTTGTCTTTTATAATCTTATTTCATATAGTTTAAAAAGCCATATTTGAAAATCTTATAAAATCCTTGATATTTTTTCTTAGTTTTTGAAAGAAAAAAAGGTGCCAATTTTAATTGTATGAAAAATATAGAAAGAATCATTTCCCGCCAAATTTTCAATGGCTTATATCTCGAAAACAAACATACAGACCCTTCATTTTTTTCTGCTATTTTAGTTCCTTTATTTATATACTATCAATATAGAACAGTCTTTTAAAAAGCTTCTTATTTTGAAACAGAGTAGTGAACATCCTTAACTAGTCCTGAGATGATTTTCTTTAACAATTATTTGGATAATTGATGTTTATATAAAGGATTATCTCAGTTTTAGTCATAAGATAGGTTTTCCCCTTTTTGTACCTCTAGATCATGTTAGTCTCATTTTCAACTTAGTTTGGGATATACGTCATCTATTTTGCTGCTTTCAGATCAATAGCAGTGCACTTATGTCGTCAGATATTTTCATTACATTTTGATTGGATTTTCATATTTTAAATTTCCGCCACCATCCCCACCTCTTTCCTTTTGTTGCCAGTGCCTCAGGGGATTATATAGTATTCATTATTAATTGTTGTAAAAACATGTACTTATAGCTGTAATTTTATGACTTTAGTTCTTTGTATTCATGTTTTTCTAAATATATTTTGATATTTTATTCTACTCATGCTGACGTATGAGTTTCTTTTATTCTCTACTCATGCTGACGTATGAGTTTCTTTATACCTTCTCATGCTGACGTATGAGGTCTTATTTTATACTCATGCTGACGTATGAGTTTCTTTTATACTACTCATGCTGACGTATGAGTTTCTTTTACATCTTCTCATACTTACGTATGAGCTCTTTTATTCTCTACTCATGCTGACGTATGAGTTTCTTTATACCTCATCATGCTGACGTATGAGGTCTTATTTTCTACTCATGCTGACGTATGGGTTTCTTTTATACTACTCATGCTGACGTATGAGTTTCTTTTACATCTTCTCATACTTACATATGAGCTCTTTTATTCTCTACTCATGCTGACATATGAGTTTCTTTATACCTCATCATGCTGACGTATGATGTCTTATTTTCTACTCATGCTTACGTATGAGGTCTTTTCTATACTCATGCTGACGTATGAGTTTCTTTTACATCTTCTCATGCTTACGTATGAGCTCTTTTATACTCTACTCATGCTGATGTATGAGCTTTAATCTTTTCATGCTTACGTATGACCTTTTTACTCTCTACTCATGCTGACGTATGGGTTGTTATTTTATTTTTCATGCTGCATGTACTTATGAGCTCTTTAAAATTTGTCATGTTTAAGTTTGAGCTCTTCTACTCTGTACCCAAGCTGACTTATGATTTTATGTTTATTTTATTTTCTTACTGAGGTATGAACTTGTTAATATTTTAATCATGCTGGACTTTTCGATAAAATTGTATACTTTTATCATCAAATTTTATCTTATCCCTCAAGTTTTATGTATATTAATTTTCATTTATATGTTAAAAGGGGGATAACTCTTAATGTTTATTATGTGTATGCAGCTGTTAGTCCCCAGTTTTTCCTATTAGAATTACTTCTGATGATCTATAGCTCAGTATAAATATCCATCAAATTATGTAGGTTTTTCAAAAGTATGTTTCATTTTTATACGCAGCTGCACTCTTATTTGATTTTCCTCATAGGTAACATTCACCTCCTAGAATTTGTTTTTGCAAAATAATAGTTTTATTTTAGTTCTATTTGGTTTGTGTCTTCTTATTTTTATATTCAGCACAAATTTCTAGGATAAGTCATTTATTTGACACTCTGTAAATTATTCCACACAGGTGATTACCTAATGTAGAGAGAGATTAGAAATAAAATACTGGTAGATTTGATTTAACTTCAATACAAAACTATTTGTAGGTGCTGCTGGAAACTTTCTTGCACCTGCAGCCTCACTCTCATTCAATGCATTTAAAACTGTGATGGAAATAGATGCTCACGGTACATTTAATGTCAGCAAAGTTGTGTATGAAAAGTATTTCAAGGTATGTATATTTTGGTGTTCAGAAGATTACATAATGCATGAATATCATATTAAAATGACTACACAATTTAACCAAAACAGATATCTAGAGTTTGTTTCTGTGAGAAATTGTTTAAATACTAGACTGACATTATTGAAGCATAAAAACAAATTCTTGGATTTACTAAGAAAATATATACAATATCTTATCATTTTTGAATCACCTGAATTATGTGTACAAGAAGATTGTCAGCTCTAATCTATTAAGTGAAGCATAGAAGAGTTCTGGAATAGTTGTAGTTCAATTATTCCATGTGAAGACTGAAAAAGGTTTATTTTTCTAAGCACATGCCTTGTTTTTTACACAGGTGACTAAGCAAATGTAATGATTTAAATAGATTTCCACTTTAAAAAGTCACTCAAGACTCATCAGTGACATGTAAGTAATTGAGTCCTTATCTTTGATTTTTATAAAAGAATCTAATAAACAGTGCTTTTTTCCTCAGGACCATGGAGGTATGATAGTCAATATAACAGCCACACTACAAATGAGGGGAACAGCTTTGCAGACACATGCCGGATCTGCTAAGGCTGCTATTGGTAAGTCTACTGCCATCAACTCAATGTGAATAATACATTTACTTTATAACAAAAACTCATTATTTGCAGATACCAATGAAAATGCAAGTATACTTATAGAAGTATTGGTATGTAGCACAATGTTGCATTCATCCATATTTATAATTTGCATTGGCTACCTTTATCAGCTGGGAAAGAATAGACAAAAAGATTAAAAAAACATGCCAAATATAAGTACCATTACAGAGATGATTTCATGAATTCACCAACCCAAACATTCCTTCTGCAACTATTTCAATTGCTAAAAATATTAACATACCTTATGTATTTGGAAGAAACAAGAATGAAGAACATCAGCATATTTCAATTAGTAGAATCTCATAATAATTAAATGATAAAACTGTTGTGAACAATAGAAGGGCTAAGGTTTCACTTTTTGCGAACCTTTACAATTTAAAAGTGTTAGAAAAGCAAAAAAAAAATCAAAAGTTTAACAGATAAGGAAATTAAAGCCATTTTAAATTCATCATGGTTTGCCATATCAAACCACTTTCTGATATATATATATATATATATATATATATATATATATATATATATATAAACGCCTAAAAAGTGTACACAACAACACCAATAACAAAAAAAGGATCGAACTATAAATGTAATTATTTATAAATATTTCGGATAACAGATATCCTTCATCAGTAAATATGATTGTGATGTTGAATGAATCATATATCAGTCTACTTAGATTAAACTATACCAATCTTGAAATTTATACAATAAAAATGTCAAACCGAACATCAGGTAAGACGCTTGCACAATTCTAAATATGTGTTAAACACGACATAGGTTATATGACTAATTACAACAGAGAGTTCAAATATATGCTTTAAATAAAAATAAAAATGTGCGATATGAACTAGCACAATTCTAAAGCTTTAACGGTGACGACAGTTATGATGTTACAAGAACGATTGCGTCAATAAGAATTCCAAATAAACAGCACTGAACGATCTAAATTTGTAAATATTTCAAATTTGACAACGGTAGAGTAGTTGCAACAGAGTCTGCGTATTTAAACATCGCAAACAAACGGCCGTTAAAATATAATAATAAATTTTGACTAAGGTTAACTAGTTGAACGTGGCTTGGTACTTTTACATCCCTCAAAAAATTAAGCAATTTAAATTGGTATATTCAACAGATTTATTTGAGAGATGCTTAAGGTAAAGAAATAGAAACAGAGACTGTAATAAAAAGTAATATTACCCAAATGTGAAGCACTGCATGGAGTCGAACTACATCTTTTCATTTATCCCATTTGGTGCCAAAGTTGTTAATTTTCTTATCCAAAATCTTTCCCGAGTGAGTCTATCCTCCCTAGACCAAGCAGAGTTGTGGTCAATGATTGTAATGGTCAGTCGATTGAGATCTACCTTAGTGTGGCCAGGGGATCTCAAATGTCGACTGAGAGGGAGGTCTGGCTTGCATTGGTAGTCGCTACGATGACCGTTCATTTGGCAACTTTGGCACCAAATGGGATAAATGAAAAGATGTAGTTCGACTCCATGCAGTGCTTCACATTTGGGTAATATTACTTTTTATTACAGTCTCTGTTTCTATTTCTTTACCTTAAGCATCTCTCAAATAAATCTGTTGAATATACCAATTTAAATTGCTTAATTTTTTGAGGGATGTAAAAGTACCAAGCCACGTTCAACTAGTTAACCTTAGTCAAAATTTATTATTATATTTTAACGGCCGTTTGTTTGCGATGTTTAAATACGCAGACTCTGTTGCAACTACTCTACCGTTGTCAAATTTGAAATATTTACAAATTTAGATCGTTCAGTGCTGTTTATTTGGAATTCTTATTGACGCAATCGTTCTTGTAACATCATAACTGTCGTCACCGTTAAAGCTTTAGAATTGTGCTAGTTCATATCGCACATTTTTATTTTTATTTAAAGCATATATTTGAACTCTCTGTTGTAATTAGTCATATAACCTATGTCGTGTTTAACACATATTTAGAATTGTGCAAGCGTCTTACCTGATGTTCGGTTTGACATTTTTATTGTATAAATTTCAAGATTGGTATAGTTTAATCTAAGTAGACTGATATATGATTCATTCAACATCACAATCATATTTACTGATGAAGGATATCTGTTATCCGAAATATTTATAAATAATTACATTTATAGTTCGATCCTTTTTTTGTTATTGGTGTTGTTGTGTACACTTTTTAGGCGTTTATATAATTTATTTATTGTGTACGTGTATCGTTACTCGTAACGATCCAGCGCCCTCGTGGGAAAAATCGTTGACTATTATTCAGACGTTTTATATATATATATATATATATATATATATATACAGCTTTATAGAATTGGAAAACTGTAAAATATAGTTATCTCATTAACCTTTAAACCAAAAGCATTCCTACAGGACAGATTTAAATTAATAATATGCAACTTCTTTTCATGTTGTGTTTAAATTATGTCAGTAATGTTTCAGAATAATTGAAGAGGGTTGCTCATGTATCTAATAATAGAAATAATACTTTTTAAACTTAGTGTTAAAATTGATATAATGAAAGGATTTGTTATTATTTTCATTTCAACAGAGGCAATGACAAAACATTTAGCAGTAGAATGGGGACCAGACAGAGTTCGAGTAATGTGTGTTGCTCCTGGGCCAATAGGTGATACAGAGGGCATGAATAGACTAGGTAATTCTTTTGTAATAATAGTTCTTTATATATGTATTATGTGTGTTGCTCCTTGACCCAAAGCTGATACAGACGGCATGAATAGACTAGGTAATTTTTAGTGTAATAGTGGCTTTTTACATGTGTCTGTTTTAAAGGAAATTTTACATGATATACAGTAGTTATGTTATGCAGTGGAATAATCATACATTATATGATATACTGTAAATTCAGAAATTATTGCATGCACTTATTATTGCAATTTCAGAAGAATGGAAAAAAATGCAAGATTGATTATTGCAATTTCAGGAAAATCTGCATACACATTTATGTATCAAATATCAGAATGCGAGTTCTAACTATTGGGATATTCATCCAGTCACATTATTCACATTTATAAAAACCTCACACTAATTTCTGAATTTACAGTATAAAATTTTTTGTTTTAGGTTTGCAATATTTGTGCTTTTAACATGTTTTAAATCAGTGCAAAATCAAATTAAATCTTAAGACCAAAACAGATTTTTGTACCAGAGCTATGATAATTCCCTGAATAAATTGATATTTGACTACAGTAAAACTAAAAGTCAGGTCTATTATGCAAAAAACCTGTGTTGTCAGACAGGTCATCCATCCTCTTCATGTTCCACTGTACTTATGCATTTTGAACATTGATTCAAAGGTCACCTCTCTTGAAAGGTCAGTTTTCAATGATTGACCTTTGGTTGAGGTTGACCTTTATATACAGGTTTGACTGTCTTTGAATCACAAACATTCCCTAGTAGTAATAGACGTAAGTTTTTATAAAGGCTTTTTATGTACCAGAATTATCATTCTTTGCTATAGGTTATTGCAATATACTTGTTATTTTTTTTTATAGTCAGTATAAACAAAGTTTACTGTTTCAAGTTATCAGTCAATTAAAATTAAATCAGGTTTTGTTCATTAACATTACTGTGTAATTAAGTTCATGAACAAAGTTTACGTGTACTGCTGTAGCATATTTTTGATATGGAGCTGGTAAAAAGTTGATAATTTATTGACCGTATAAAATTCAATACAGACATCTATAAAACTACAGTGTTATAGGTAAGTAAAAATGATCTATTTGCAAATATTGTATGTATTCACTTTCATTCAGAATAATTTGTATAGAAATATTGTAAAATAGTCCAATGTTGACATTAACAACATATATACAGCAGTTTGAAATGAATGTTAAATTGTTCTGCTGTTGATAAGAACCATTTATCAAGTATTTTTGTGACTGAAAAAAATCTAGAGTTCAACATTTATTCTTCAACAAAAGCCAGGTGTCTTTTTTCTATACAATGTGTCTAGTTCTGAATCCTTAGTTTATGACAGTTGTGAATAAATTAAACAAAGTGTCAAAGATCTGCCATCAAGAAAACATCTCTTAAGGTGGTACATAACACTACAGGGAGATAACTCTGTAAAATCAGATGAGTGCCTTCTATTGTTAAGGAAATATTAAGCTTCTAAATGATCAAAATTAGTGTTTGTCAAACTGCTATATATCCAACGAAATTTTTCCAATAAAGTGCGTGGTTCAAGTCTTTTGAAATTCTTATATTTTTGTCAAAGGGTCAAAGTAAATATTTTGTCAAAATTTTATGAAAATTAAATGAGCCAAATTAATTTTAGTCGAGGTGTTTGGTACCAGCTTAATTACAAAATACATTAAGATATGACATGAGAAAACCACTGATGAGCTTCTGGACTTGGGACAGGCACATAAATATGTGTTGGGATTAGTTTAGTAATTTGAGATCTCACCAAAGTGGACTAAAAAACATACATGAAAGAACATACAATAGAAATCAGTACAGGAAAAGCACTTCTTTATTCTAAAATAACGGTATAATAGATTACAAACAAACTCATATATCATTTGATGTAGTTCATAGAATATTTCTCACAGAAATGTCATAAACAGTACACGAAGGCAAGTCCGTGTGCAATGCCCAGAACTAACTTAGTTTGTTCTTGGCATTGCACAACTGTGGGGACTATCTAACTCTAATAAAATAAACAACAGCTTTACAGTTTGACGTTTACTTGTTACTATAACTAAAGCTAAGGTGGCGTCACCGATGTGACGTCGACCTTGGATACAAAGGTAGTTCGCGACGTTTCCAGTCCAGCGGTCTTCTTAACATTCTCAGGGCCTCAAAAAAGTACTTTACATAGAAAAGAAAATTGAAATATAATATATAAATTACATTAAATTAAGATTAAAGTCTCTCAAATTAAAAAAATTTCCCAGTTTTTTCTCAATTAAACTAACGGTTGTTCATAAAACAAAATCGCATTACAGTCCATATTCATCGCGTAACACATTTTTAAACAAGTATGCTCGATCACTTTACTTTGAAAGTCCATAAAAAGTTTTAATGTTCTCTTTTGCACGTTTAGCTGCTTCTCGGGTGGATACCTGTTTTGTAACCTCGTCTGTCTTTGTCGGGTGTCTCTTGTTCCGTGTCCATGTTTTCACTCTCTAAACTGATTTCGAGCGGATATAACTTTACAATGGGTCTATTCGTAATTCCGTTCTTAGTTCTCACAATTGCTGAATGAATGTGTCCGTCATTTCCTTTAACTAAATCCTCAACAATAGCAGTTTTCCATCCAATTCTGGGTTTTTCATCGTGAATTTGTACTTAGTCTCCAATTTCAATCCTTCTTTTATTATTCCCGGTTTTCTAGTGAAATTGTCTGAGAGAAGTCAGGTACTCTGATTTCCATCGATTCCAAAATTGTTGGATTATTAACGATTGTCTCTTTGCACGTTTATCTAAATTCGTAGTGTTCATGAAATCATAGTTTTCAATATCAAAATCTTCTCCACGAGGATATGGCAGTGTATTAATGCGTCGTCCGTATAAAAGATGAGCTGGAGTAAGAGCTAGGTTCTGAATCCATTAAATCTGTAGAAATGTAAGTCAAGGGTCGGTCATTGAGAATAGATTCAATCTCCGTTGTTACTGTTTGAAGTGTTTCTAAATCAATTAGCGATTTTCCAAGTACCTTTCGTATGCTAGTTTTCGTTAAACCAACGAGGCGTTCCCTATAGCCTCCAAACCATGGTGCGCGTTTCGGTATAAATCGCCATTCAATTCCTTGTAAAGAAAATGCTTCCTGTAATTTCTCAGATTTACATAGTCGTGTTATTTCATCTGACACAGAAACAAAGGTAGATGCATTGTCTGATAGAATAGATCGTGGTAAAGATTTCCTTCTAACAAAACGCCTAAACGTTGTAAAAACGTGTCCACTGTTAAGTTTGTTACCACTTCCAAATGTATTGCTCTAGTCGAAGCGCATGTTAATAAGCAAATGTATGCTTTAATTAACGACTTGTCTGTGTGTCTTACATGTAGTGCTCCTGTAAAATCTATCCCTGTAACCGTAAACGGTGGCGCTTCTTGGAGTCTTATCTTCGGTAAAGGAGGAGGGTCTGGTGCTGAATATGGCTTTCCTATTGTTTTACGGCATGTAACACATCTTCTCAACATTTTTCTAACAACTTGTCGAATTGCAGGTATCCAAAATGTCTGTCTAAGATGAGTTATTGTCATATTAACGCCTGAATGTAAAACTTGCGTATGAGCGTCCATTATGATGAGTTCAGATAATGCGTGATTTGACGGTAGTATATATATGGGAATTTTGCGGATTCTGATATTGGTGCGTTGTGTATTCGTCCTTGACACCGCATAAGATTGTTGTCATCTTAGAATAAACGTAGTTGTCTTATTCTAGGCAAATTTGTTTTAGTTTTCGATTTCAACGCCTTATATTCTTGTTGAAAAGTCGTCTCTTGACAGTGTTTTATCCATAATTCAGCGGATTTCTGTACTTCTGGTGGTTTCAATTGTCCTGTTTGTCTTGATTTGCCATTCTTACGACAATTACTAATGAAACGTTGTACAAAAGCAGTTATGCGTAACAATCTCTTAAACGATCCATATCGGTTTATATATCCATAATAACGTGAAGTCCTGGTTGATTTTGATTTTCATCAGTTGAAATGTCTCTTGTTGCTTGACTGTTTTCCTGGTCATTGATTAAAACAGATAATGATGTGTCGTTTAACATTGTCGTATTTGGAAATTTAGAAGTGTCCGTTAGCCAACTGGGTCCCTTTTTCCATAATGTACTTTCCTTGTACTTCTCGCTTGTTATACCACGGGTTAACAAATCGGCTGGATTACAGTCAGTTGGGCAGTATTTCCATTTATACGAATACTTCAAATCATTTATTTCGTTCACTCGATTTGTAATAAAACGCTTTAACGTTTTTGTTGATTTTTACCAATGAAGGACGATCTGGCTGTCGGACCACAGAGTTATGCTTGAACATTCTAATGTGGATTTAAGATGATTTACTAAACGTTCCCCAATAACGGCGGCCATCAATTCAAATTGCGGTAATGTAAGTTCTTTAAGCGGGGCTACACTTGTCTTTGCCATCACGAGTGCGCTATCACTTCCGTTACACAAGTATGCTACTGCACCATACGCCTTAATTTGTGCTAGCATCAACGAATGCATGTAAATTATTTTCTGTTGAGTTACAACTAGTTTTGGAAAATAAGTATCTATTAAATACCTCATTTGTTACTTGTTCAACGTCTTTGGCAAGATACAGCCATGATATACATATGTCTTCATCAACTATATGGTCCCAATCAAATCCTCTTTTCCATATTTTTTGTAACAGTATTTTATTTCTAATTGTAACAGTCCGAGAGGGTCATACATTCGTGACGAATGTTTTAAAATTTCACGCTTGGTTATTATTTGTGAAGAAGTAAGAATTTCTCGTTTTTGGTAAAACAGTTCATCGGTTACACTGTTCCATCGCATTCCTAAAATCTTTGTTTCTTCATCTGTATCCAGTATGTTTTATGTTGCTGCTAATGTACAAACCTTTTCACTTTTTGAAGTCCACGATCTTAGATTAAATCTAGTTTTGTTCATTATTGTACGAGCTTCTT